TTCAGCTTATAATCAACAAAATTTATATTTACATATTTATCCAATATATTTGTCAAACCATATAGACTATTGCTGGACATTGTACTATAGAAACTACCCATTAGTTGTATAGTATTATCATTTAGTGGATAAATAAAATCAAATTCATCATATAGTGTATCATTTAGACTGTATTTATTAAGTAATATATCAATTTGCTAACAATAATAATAAATTAATTAATAATATAATTTATTTCATGCAATTGATTTATTTTTTATAAATATCAATATATTAAATTTACATTGTTTTTAACATAATTTAATGCCATATCCATTCCGCTTAAATTAGGATAATAATTTTTATCCATTATAAATGGTAATGCACTTTAAGAGAGAGAGAGAGAGAGAGAGAGAGAGAGAGAGAGAGTTTTAAAGAATAAAATAAAAATTTAAATATTGTAACATAAAAAATACTATTTATTTATATATATATATATATATAAAGTACTAACAAATAATTATTGAAATTTAAAAAAATAAATAAAATTACTAAAAAAAATTTACCCATATTTAGTTCGTTTAGTTAATTCATATATAATGTCAAAATGATGTCCACATAGATATTTAAAATCACTATCGACTAACTAAATAAATAAATTTTTATGATTATATTTTTTAAATTTTAAATTCTATTAATTATAATTATATATTATAGTTAAATGTTATAGTATAGTAAATTATAATAATAATAAATATGTTTTAATATAGAAATAAATTAAATATATATTACTAATAATTCGTTGGTAAATGTAAAATTTCCCAATAGTTGACCATGATCAAATTGCATATCAAATGTTGTCGGCTCAGTTTGATCAGCTATCGACAAATCGCATCGAAAGTTTGGCGCAAGTTTTGTATACATTTTCAATATTATCTTAATTTATTTTAAGTTTATTAAATTATTAAATGTAATATTATATTTATATTTTTTTTATATATAATGTAATCGAAATTTTTAAAATATAATGGAAATTAACAAAATTCTTAGATATTATAATTATAAAACTGAAAATATAATATTGAATATTAATAAACTATATATAAAAATATATATATATATATTACTTTTTTATATATTATAATTTTATATATTATAATTTTATATATTATAATTTTATATATTATAATTTTATATATTATAATTTTATATATTATAATTTTATATATTATAATTTTATATATTATAATTTTATATATTAATATTATATATATATATTATGAGATACTGGTTACTACTACGCTAATAAACTAAGAAATATATAAATATAATAAATATTTAATAACTAAAAAACAAAACAAAAATATTTTTATTCAATTATGATATTTAATATTAATATATGATAAATATATATATATTATAATAGCTATGATAAACATATAAACACAAAATTATTGATTTTTTTAGTAATAAATTTGTTGATTTAAAAAAATATATTTATATATTACTGCAACAAATATAATTAATTAATTTAACTAATTGCTTCAAATTACAAATGATTTTAGGAATAATAATAATAATTACAGGAAATTATTTTAAATACATGTTATATATAGAATCGTATATTTTATATAATTATATTTATTGATATATATGTATATTAATAATTGAAATTAAATTAAACATATTATATATACTATTTAATTATTATAAATTTGTTTCAAATATAACAACTAATGGATTATATGTTAATTAGTTTATAAGTAACTAATGTATAGAATATTTCCCTGAATTTTGAGTCTGAATCCCTGTCCTCTAAACGGAGTTCCCGTTCATTGTGTTTGATTTGTTGTAGTTTTTCTTGAAACTCGACATCATTAGTAACAGTTGTTATATCAATAGTCCACAATCATTGTATCGGTCAATAATCTCAGCACAGGTAGGTCTATCGTTGAACAAAACTTTTGTTGTATTAATAACTACAGCGCAAACAATTGTCTATAATTTAAACACCATTTACTTGTTATATATTTATCTCGTGAACTATAATATAAAAAAATAAATTTTAAGTCAAAAAATAAATAAAATAATTATCATTTTTTTAGATACAAAACTCATTGATATTGAAATGTTGAATAACTTTTCAATTGTTATACCAATACTATAGACATCGGCTTTTTAGTGCTATATATATGCGACCACTTTTGACTTCGGGTGCCGTATATATGTATAGAGGAGTTCCTACACATGTATGTCTCTGAGTCTCTGATAAAACATTTTGAATAGTAATTAATCCCAAAATCATATAATTTAATGAACCGTCCGTTTGTAATGTTTGTCGGCAATGATAGAGTCTTAAACAGCGGCGCCGACGACGACAGCGGCGATGCTTTTAATTTCAAATATCTGGTCAACAATAAGTTGGACTTAAAAGTGACCAATAGCAATGTTGTAGATAATTATAAACTGGATAAGATTGTAATTGGTCATTTTTTAATTAATTGAATCATTTGGCAGATAATTGCAGTCGACTATCATTTTTACAATTTTTTAACAGTCGACTGTATATTATCTGCCCAATTATATAATTAATTAAAAAATGACCAATTACAATCTTATCCAGTTTAAAATTATCTACAACATTGCTATTGGTCACTTTTAAGTCCAACTTATTTTTGACCAGATATTTGAAATTAAAAGCATCGCCGCTGTCGTCGTCGGCGCCGCTGTTTAAGACTCTTATTCGGCAATCAATATGTTGTCGGGTTTGAGATCCCTGTGAATAACCGGTGGATTCAATTCATTCACAAATATCGGACACATTCTAACACTTCAAACAGCAGTTCACATGTAATGTAATATTCCATACAATCCATGGGTTTATCTGATGATTGTTGTCTTTCAAAAATACCTGTGCTTTCAATTTGATGCCATTAGTTATTTTTTATTATTATTTACTATTATTTAGATAATAATAATAATAATAAATTATAATCAAAAAAATAATAATATTTAGTAACTAAATAGAAATAATTTTCAACAAATAAAATTATTTTATTGTTTAATACAAAACTAAATTATAACAATTCTAATGAATAACAAAAAAAAATAAAATAAATTTACTTAGGTTAACTATTATTTTTTTAATATATAAATTAACTAAATTACTAAAAATTATTTATAATATTTTAATAATAATTTGAAGTTTTTTTTAGTTATTAGTAGAGCATAGTTATTAATAAATTTTTAAATTACCAACAATTAATTATTATTTTAATTAATTTATATTTAAATTATTTTAATCATGTTTTATAAATATAATTAATTATTTAATTATTTGTATTGTTTGTTGTCTATAACTATACTGTATATGTTTAGTTAACATTACTTTTTTTACTAGTTAAAACTATATATTAGATTTATTATAATAAAAATTTTTTAATCCTTAATATTATTGATTTTATAAATAATAAACGTATGAAAAATAGGCCAAAATTCTGGTTCAGAATCCCTGTCCTCTAAACGGAGTTCCCATTCTCTGTGTTCTATTTGTTGCAGTTTTTCGTCAAACTCCATATCGTTAGTGACAACAGTGTTATCGATAGCCCAATCATTGTATCGTTCAATAATCTGAGCACAGGTAGGTCTCTCTTTATATAATGTTTTTGTTGCACTAATTGTTATATCAAACAATTGTCTGTATTTATCACTCCAATCACTTGTTATATATTTATCACGTGATCTAATGATAAACAACAAAATTTATTATTAAATTTTAAAATAACTAAAAAAATTGTTTTATCGATATAATCTCAACTCATTTATATTAAATTCAAATAGTTTTTCAATTGTAGCCCCAATACTATAGACATCAGCTTTTGTATTGTATTTGCGACCACTGATGACTTCGGGTGCCATAAAATTAGGTGTTCCCACTCGTGCCGTATGACTTTCAGTCAGTTTTTCGTGTATTGCTATTAAACCCAAATCACATAACTTAATGAATCGGCCGTTTCTGATACGGTTAACAATCAATATGTTGTCGGGTTTGAGATCGCGATGAATGACCGGTGGATTCAATTCATGCAAATATCGGACACATTCTAACACTTCTAATAGCAGTTCACATGTAATGTAATACTCCATACAATCCATGGGTTCATCCGTTGATTGTTGTCTATTAAATACCTGTGCTTTCAATTTGATGGCCTGTTTCAGACTCATTAAGCAATACTGCATTTCAATATATATTTGATTTTTATAATACCAACAGTCAAACACATTAGCTAAATATTGTGCCGTTATTTTGCTAACTTTTTCAATTTCTTTCAAATACATATCTTCAATAAAATTTTCGTCTAATTATAAAAAAAATAATTTTTAAAAAAAAAATTTAATAAATCTATATTAATATTAATAATTAGACATATAACTAAAATATTTTTTTAATTTATATATTAAATATATTAAAATAATAAAATTTAGTTATTTAGTTAGTAAACTCTTTAAAAAAATAAATACCAGAAATTTGAATTATTTTTACGGCATAAATATTATTATTTAATTTATGTTTGCATTTATAAACCGATCCAAAGCCTCCCGATCCCAATAGTTTCAACTCATCATAACATCGATAATATGTGTCATGAATTTTATCTAGAAATAAAATAATTAAATATTTAGTTAAAAAAAATAAATACTAATTAACACTAACCATAGTTAAGCACATCCGGACAATTAGATTCAATTTTAATTGAATTAAATGTTATTTCAATTAAATTCAGTATATTTTCATTGAATTCATACGAGTTATATGTTTTATAAGTTATTTGATATTTATTAATACAATAATCAAAATAATTATTAAAATTTGATTGAAATTTTACAATTCCGTCCATTAGATCGTAAACAATATCATTCATTGAACAAAACATTGACATTTCATTCCATTTATATGTAAAAATTTGATGAATATTAGAAAATTCTTGGAAAGTTCCCAATAATTTTGGTATCAATTGTATATCACTTATATTATTGTTAGTGTAATATTGACCGCAAAAATATACTTCATTATTATAATGACTACTAAAATATGTATTCAATGAACCCGATTGTATGGATGTAATACCAGACAAATTGCATATCAATTGTGGTTTAACTATAAAATCGTTGCTACTATTAAGTCCCAATTGTTGGCTACGATTTTGACCCCAACTAAATACCTGTCCATCCATTGTCAATGCAAACGATGATTGTTCAAAACAGTGAACACATTTTATACAATAATTGCCATTGAATTCAATCTTTTCGGGTGTATTGATGGCATCACAAGTGGTGTCTCGGCTACCGATTTGTCCGAATTTATTTTTACCCCAACCATAGACTTCATTATTATTATTATAATTATTTTGTGTTACAATTAATGTATGATATGAACCACAACTTACATCAAGTATTAAATCATTTTTTGCATTAATTTCAACAATCATTGGTTTATTAGTTTCAAAATCTCTACAACCATTACCCAACTCTCCCCATACATTTAGACCACAACTATACAGACAATTATCATTTGACAAAAATGTCATAAAATGTCTACCGTTTATAAAATTCAAACACTTTTTATGTCTCAATTCACGGATCTCTTGTGGTTCACTCACCCACTGGTTGTGTCCCAAACCCAGTGATCCGTAATAATTAGCACCCAATCCATAAACTCGATCATCGGTAGTAACAAACAGTACATTAACTCCCAGTTCGTCGTCAAACACATAAAACCTTTCCATACTTTTGATCCAATCATTTGGTGTTAAGGTTTTTGTTTCCATATCTTTTAAAATTTATAACTTTATATTTAGTGTTATTATTTTACATTATTATTTAATGTATTAATTGTATTACACAATATAATAAAAATATTTAAAATTTAATAATGAAAAATAATATTTTATATAAATATAAATAGATTTATACTTATAATAGTTATAACTATAAAAATAAGTTATAAAAATAGTTATATTATAAAATATATAAAAAATATTACAACTATGTATTATATAAAATTACTTTTATTATATATTTAATTAATATAACCATAGTTAATTATCTTATTTATTTAATTTATTGATTATAAAAATATTGATAACTATTTTGTGAAATTCAGTTATTGTAACCAAACAAATATACATGTTATACAGTATAATATAATATAATATAAATAATAACAATTATTAATATATCATTTATATTAGTACATGAAAACAGATTATTTAAATTATTACTATTATTATTATAATATATATATATATATATAAATCAGGTTTAAGCAAGTTTTTGAATTTTAGTTTATATGTTATTTTTATACAAATACTGACTAAATACTAATTATTTAATACAATTTTCATTAAAGCTTTAGTTATAAATAATAAATTAATATAAATATTAATATCAAGTGTTTACCTGTATATTATAACAATAATTAATAGTGTTTTATTAACATTAATAATGTTTAACATTAGTAAATATATATAGTATATCTAATATAAATTACATAATTTATTGTATATTTACTATGCAATATATTTATTACTATTAATATATAATATAAATAGAAAAAATAAATATCAAACATTTAGTTAATAATAATTGAATAACAATTGATTAATATAAATATTGTTAATTATATTCATATATTACTTGTAATATAAAATGATTTAAAAAAAACTATTTATAAAATGTTTTATATCTATTTAAGTAACTTATTAAATATTAATTTTGAATTAAATATTAATTATATTTATTTTTTTATTAACATTTTTATGTTAAATTACTTATTATATGACATTTTAAAATATTTATTAGTTATTTTTGATTTTATAATAAACAAATGTATAGAATATTTCCCAAAATTTTGGCTCTGAATGCCTGTCCTCTGAACGGAGTTCCCATTCTTTGTGTTTAATTTTCTTTAGTTTTTCCTCAAACTTGACATCAGTAGTAACAACAGTGCTATCAATAGCCCAATCATTATACTGTTCAATGATCTGAGCACAAGTAGGTCTGTCATTATAGACCGGTTGCATCGTTTGTTTTATAATATCTAATAGTTTACAATAATTATTACTCCACTCGTATTGAATGTATTTATTAGGAGAACTAATAACAGAAAAATAATTGATTAATATTTTAATTATATATTTCAAAATAGTATTTAAAATACAAACTCATTGACATTCGTATCGAACAATTCTTCAATAATAACACTAATACTATAGACATCAGCTTTGGTATCATATTTGCGACCACTTATGACTTCGGGTGCCATATATTTAGGACTACCAACACCTGCCGTATGACTCTGTGATACCATTTCGTGAACTGTTATTAATCCTAAATCACATAATTTAATGAACCGTCTGTTTCTACCATTGTTAGCAATCAATATGTTGTCGGGTTTGAGATCCCTGTGAATGACCGGTGGATTCAATTCATGCAAATATCGGACACATTCTAACACTTCTAATAGTATTTCACACGTAATGTAATACTCCATACAATCCATGGGTTCATCTGATGACTGTCTGTTAAATACCTGTGCTTTCAATTTGATGGCTTCTTTCAAACTCATTAAGCAATATTCCATTGGAATATATATACAATTATTATAACCCCAAACTCCTAACACATCGACTAAATATTGTGCCGTTATTTTAGTTACTTTTTCAGTTTATTTTAAAAAAATATCGTTTTTTCTTTCTATACTTTTTTCTATAAATATTTAAAATATTATTAATTAATAAAAATTTAAAAAAATTAAATTTAATAAAATTACCTGATAATTTAATTATTTTTATTGCTTCAATTGATTTATCTAATTTATATTTGCATTTATAAACCGATCCAAAGCTTCCCGAACCCAATAATTTCAACTCATTATAACATCGATAATATATGTTATGAATATTATCTATTGTTTTATAAGTTATTTGATATAAATCGACACAATATTCAAAATAATTATTAAAATCTGTTTTAAATTTTCTACTGTTTATCACTTCATAGACCATATCATTCATTAAACAGAAATATGTTCTTTCATTCCATTTATATGATCTAATCGATTGAATATCAGAAAATTGATTACAATTTCCTAATAATATTGGTATCATTTGTATATCAATTGCATTTTTTTCATTGTAATATTGACCACAAAAATATACTTCATTTTTATTACTATTACTAAAATATGTTTCTCCAAAACCCGATTGTATTGATGTAATACCACACAAATTGCATATCAATTGTGGTCTAAATATTAACCAATCATTGCTATTAAGTCCCAATTGATTGCAACGATTTTCACCCCAACTAAACACTTGTCCATCACTTGTCAGTGCAAACGATGAGTTAGCAAAACAGTGGACAGATTTTATACAATAATTATTATTGAATTCAATCTTTTCGGGTTTAGTAATTGCATCACAAATGTTATCTCGACTGCCGATTTGTCCGAAATCATTGCAACCCCAACCATACACTTCATTATTATTTTCGGTTACAACTAATGTATGATATGAACCATAACTCACATCACTTATTAAATCATTGTTTTCATTGATTTGTATAATCATTGGTGTCTTATATATCTTATCATTACATCTATGGCCCAATTGTCCCAAACTATTATAACCACAAATATATAAACAATTATCACTCGAAACACAAACAATAAATTCCATTCCGTTTATGAAATTAATACACTTTTTATGTCTCAATTCAATGATCTCTTGTGGTTCACTCACCCACTGGTTGTGTCCCAAACCCAATGATCCCCAGAGATTAGCACCCAATCCATAGACCCGATCATCTGTAGTCACAAACAACATATTAACTCCCAGTTCGTCGTCAAACACATAAAATCTTTCAATCCTTTTGATCCAATCATTTGGTGTTAAGTCTTGTGTTTTCACTTTTATATTATTTATTACATTTTGTCTTAAATTATATATTCTCTCATTTTTTTTATTCAAAACATTTGTTTTCAATTTAGTAGATTTATTGCCCATATTTTGATAATTATTTGCCACACTTTTGTTTACTATTACTTTCAATCAACTCAATAAATTTATTATAATTATTAGTTATTTTTATTAAAAATTTCTTTACATAATAAAGTATTTTAATAATATTTTCATATAATTTATAAATAAAATTGTTATATAATATAATTATCACTATTTATTCACTAATTAAGTAAAAAGTATTATATCTTAAACTAAATAATTCAAACAATAAGATAGTATCCAATTGTAACTAATGAATACATTGTTTATACTTTATTTCTATATATTTTGTTATTAGTTTTATAATTAACTATTACTTATAAAGAAACTGAATTTAAATGCTTATTGAAATCATTAACAATATCTAAATTAAAATATTAGTCATTTATTTGATTGATAATTATTTTATTTTTTTTATAATAACAATAGTTATAATGTTTAACTAATGCATTGTTTATTAATTTACTTTATTTTAATAATTTTAAAAAATTTATTTATTAATATTATTTTATTAGTTAACAAATATTTATTGAAAAATTTTGTTCATAATATTAAAATATATATATATATATTATTAAAATTATTGTTTTTCCTATATATTGATAAAATATTATTATAAATGTTAAACACTTGAAACACTTTATTATTTTTATTAAATGATAACAATTGAAATATTTATCAAAGTATTAACGATATCTAAGTTTTGACATTAAACTTGAATTTATTATAATTAAAATAAATTATTATAAAAAAATTATTACGAGATTAAAAAAAATAAATTTTGTTTAATAGAATAAAACAATTTAAAATTAAAAAATAAATTTTACAATTATACATTATTTAATTAATAAAATATATTTTAATAAATTCAATAAAAAAAAATTTTGTTAAAATTTATTTTAAATTATTTTATTACTACAATATATAATTTTGTATTATCATAGAAATGTTATTTATTAAATATTAATTTTTATTATTATACAATAAATATTCAATAAAATATCAGTTAATAACAATTTAATAAAATATAATTGTAATGTGATAATAAACTTTTGCTAAAATTATAATTTAAAAAAATAATAATAAAATAATCACTCGTTGTTTGTTAAGCACTTGATATATATATATAATTTATATAAAAAAAATAACTAATATTAATATTATTTTAATATTATTATTATTATTACATAATAAAAATTTTAGTGATAGATGATTAACAAACTATAACAATAAGTTAAAAATAAACAAATAATAAATTGAATAAAAACATTTTTTCAATTATGACTGTTATTAATACTAATAATATTATAGTCAAAATATAAGAGTATTAAAAAAATTATAGTTTATTTAAAATATATTTTTGTTTAAATTAACTGAATTATTATATAATGATTACAAAAAAATAATAAATTGCTTACAATTACAACTCTAATTATAATATTCTATACTAAACACTACCTGCAAAATCATATAATAAATATATCAATAGTAGTTTTAAAAAAATTTATATAATAAAAAAATATTATTTAATAAAATTAATTAAACAAACCTATGGTTCAGTTGAGCTGATGTTTAGATAACTATTTTATGTTTCTATAAAAAAAACTAAAGAAAACAAAACAAAACAAAACAAAACAAAACAAAAAAATACAAAAATAATTTCAATTAATTAATTTTTGATTTTATTAAATTCAAAGCTTACATTAAATAAATATATATTTTAATTCAATATTCAATAAATTTAAAATTTATAATAATTATTATTATAATTATTATGTATTATTACAGAATTAAATAGTAAAAATAAAACTATATAAATAATAAATAAAATTTTGTTATTAAATAAAAACAATTGTTTCTTTATTGTAACGGCTCTCGATAGGGATTCATATATATATAAAATAATATATTAAAATAAAATAAAAATCTGCATTAAAATAATAATAATAATAATAATAATTATTATTATTATTATTATTATGCACCAAAACCATAACGTAGACTTTGTGGTTTAGCTTTACCATCAACTGTGCTTGATACTATATTTAAAAAAAATAAATAAATAATTTTTTTTACAAAAAAAACAATACTATAAAAACATTTAATTTACAACAACAACATTAACAAACTTACGTAAAGCTATGATAACCACTGCAACCAATACAACAAAGCGATTCATTGTTTGTTAAATTATTATTAATTTTTCAAAAAAAAAATTATCAAATAAACTGTTTTTTTTCAAATTTTTTGTTGTTAACAGTCATCGGCTTATATATCTTAATAATTTCATTAAAAAAATTATAATTAACATATGTATAGATTGTGCAATTAAAATTAAAATTATTATTAAAAAATTATTACAAAAATTATGTAATATTATAAGTTATTTACGCATTTATAATGTATTATTTTGTTTAAAAAATGTAAATAAAAAAAATTATATTAAAAAATTTATTATACAATATCCTGTTTTGTTTATTGACGCTTTTAATATACATAGTATTAGAAAATTATAATTTAGATGATAATAATTAAAATAAAACATTTTTTTTGAATAAACAACAAAAATAATATTTATTAATATAAAAAAAATAAATATAATAAAAGTTGAAATAAAATAAAAGATTATTATTGTTAAAAAAATAAAACTAATAAATCTCTAAATTGAACTATAATTATAAATCATAAAATTTCTTAATTAAATATTATAAAAAGTTATAAATTTTTATCATACATTAAAGTTGTATATATTACTAAATATTTCTTATAAATTAATACAACAATAATATTTATAAGTAAAACATTTTATTATAAAATTTTTCTATTTAACATTTAAGTTATGATTAATCTAAATAGTATTTTTTATTATTATATGAAAATGAAATAACCATTAATTTTAAGATAATATCCCAGTGTAACCAATAAATATTTTTATTTTAAATATATAGATAAAAAAAAATATTTGCTGTTAGTTAATAAAATAAAATAATTGTATTATTATATAAAGTATTATTTTAAGTTATTAATAATCATTTTTATTTATTAATTATTTAGTTTATTTTTTGTTGTTGTAATTTAATAGTAAAAGCCAATACCTGTGCTTTGATACTATTGGTTTGATAATTACTATCACTACTATCACAACTATTACTTGTTTTATCAGATTTTATACGTGGGTCGACAACAACAACAATGTAACGGTAAACTAGACGGTATACTGTCGTCCCATTTAGCAACTAATGCCGCGGCGGAGTTTTATAGTATATTTAATAGTAATTAAAATTTATTTTTTGTTTAAATATAATTTAAAATTTAAAATTATTACATAAAATATAAAACTAAAACAACAATAAAAACTAATAAAAGTGATTTCATTAATATTATAATACTAAATAAAAAATATATTTATTGTATTAATAGTATAAAAATATGTTTAATAATAAAATAAATTAGTAATTATAATTATAAAATTAAATATCTATAGTTAATTGTTAATAAAATTTTTATGAATTTCAGTTATGAATACTAAATTTATATATATATTATAAAAATTATTATTATATCTCATAGACTAAACTTTTTGTCTATTAATATTTATTTTTAGAAATTGAGTAGTTTTATTCATCAAATATATTTAATTACTAATATTTCTAGTTATAAAATACAAGCAGAAAAGTTAATAAAATCCAAAATAAAATAATTATTGATTATAATTGAGTTTATAATTAACAAATATATAGAATATTTCCCAAAATTTTGGCTCCGAATCCCTGTCCTCTGAACGGAGTTCCCATTCATTGTGTTTTATTTTCTGTAGATTTTCCACAAAATTGATATCAGTTGTAACAACTGTGCTATCTATAGCCCATTCATTGTACTGTTCAATTATGTGAGCACAGGTAGGTCTGAAAAATAAACAGGTAAAAATATATTAATAACCTGGTAATTTAATTATTTTTATTGCTTCAATTGTATTATATAATTTATCTTTGCATTTATAAACCGATCCAAAGCTTCCCGAACCCAATAATTTCAACTCATCATAACATCGATAATATGTGTTATAAATATTATCTATTGATTTTAATTTTAAATTATTATTATAAATACTAATAAAAAACAATATAAATATATACTAACTAGTGTCTAATGAATCAATTATTTTATAATTAGTTTTAATTAAATTTATTGTATTTTCAATAAATTTAATCATATTTTCAGTGAATTCATAAGCGATATATGTTTTATAAGTTATTTGATATAATTCGACACAATATTCAAAATAATTATTAAAATCTGTTTTAAATTTTCTACTGTTTATCACATTATAGACCATATCATCCATTGAACAGAAATATGTTTTTTGATTCCATTTATATGAAATAATTGATTGAATATCAGAAAATTGTTTACAATTTCCTAATAATTTTGGTATCATTTGTATATCAATTGCATTGTTTTCATTGTAATATTGACCACAAAAATATACTTCATTTTTATTTCTATTAATAAAATATGTTTCTCCAGCACCCGATTGTATTGATGTAATGCCATTCAAATTGCATATCAATTGTGGACTAAATATTATTAAATCAGTGCTATTAAGTCCCAATTGATTGCAACGATTGTTTCCCCAACTGAACACTTGTCCATCAATTGTCAGTGCAAACGATGAGTATTCAAAACAGTGAACAGATTTTATACAATAATTGCCATTAAATTTAATCTTTTCGGGTGTAATAATAGCCACACAGTTGGTGTCTCGGCTACCGATTTGTCCGAATGTATTACTACCCCAACCATAGACTTCATTATTATTTTTGGTTACAACTAATGTGTCCCAAACCCAGTGATCCGTATAGATTAGCACCCAATCCATAGACCCGATCATCGTTAGTAACAAACAGTACATTAACTCCCAGTTCGTCGTCAAACACATAAAACTTTTCCATACTTTTGATCCAATCATTTGGTGTTAAGGTTTGTGTTTCCATATCTTTATAATTTATAACTTTTTATTTGCTATTATTATTTTAATTTCATTATATAATGTTTTAATTGTATTACACAATATAATAAAAATATTAAAAATAATATTTTATATAAAATTATAGAATTATACTTATAATAATGAATTAAAATATAAAAACTATGTATTATATAAAATTACCTTTTAATTAAATATTTAATTAATAACTAACCTTTGTTAATCATTTTATTTATTTATTGATTAAAAAATAATGATAACTATTTATGAAATTCAGTTATTGTAATAAAAAAAACATTTTGATATTTATCACAATTTAAGCAATAATTAAAAAAAATTATATCTTAAACAACATAACTTAAAAAATAAGATAGTATCCAAGTGTAACTAATAGATAGTTATTAAATTATATTGACAAAATAAATAATAATTTTAAGTAATATTTTATGTATATTATACAATAAAGTTAAAATGCACAATTAAAAGTAAATATTTTTATTTATTTATAATTTAATTTACAAAAAATATATTATGAAAAAATTAATTACAATCTATTTACCAGTTTAAATATATTTATTAATTTAGTAGTAATTATTACAAAAAATATGAAACTAAATCAACAATAAAAACAAATAAAAGTGATTTCATTAATATTATTATACTAAATAAAAAATTATGATTACTAAAAAATATATAAACTAAAATATTTCTAGTATTATATAAAATATGTTTAATAATATAATGTAATACTTATTATTATTATTATAACCTTGATTATAAATTTATTTATTTGATAAAATATTTATGAATTACTAAAGATATACAGTAATAATGTTCACAAAGTAATAAATACTGAGTTTAACAATAATTTTAAACTTTATGTTATAATTAAAAATATATATTATATAACATGATACTTATTAAAATAAACATTTTTTATATAACTATTAATTTTTAGAAATTCAATAGTTATTAACAATAATCTTTACTTATAAATTAATTATTTAATAATGCTATATTTTAGTTATGAAATACAAACAAAAAAAAGTTAATTAAATGCAAAATATAATAATTATTGATTATAATTGAGTTTATAATTAACGAATGTATAGAATATTTCCCAAAATTCTGGCTCTGAATCCCTGTCTTCTGAACGGAGTTCCCTTTCTTTGTGTTTTATTTTCTCTAGTTTTTCATCAATCTTGATATCAGATGTAACAACAGTGCTATCAATAGCCCATTCATTGTATTGTTCAATAATCTCGGCACAGGTAGGTCTCTCATCATATATAGGTTTCATTGACTCATTAATAACATCTAATAGTTTACAATATTTATTACTCCACTCGTGTTTAATATATTTATCGCGAGAACTAAACAGAAAAATAATCGATTAATAGTTTATTATATAATTAAAATAGTATTCAAAATACAAACTCATTGACATTCGTATCGAATAACTCTTCAATAATAACACTAATACTATAGACATCAGCTTTGGTGTCATATTTGCGACCACTTATGACTTCGGGTGCCATATATTTAGGACTTCCAACACCTGACGTATGACTCTGTGATACCATTTCGTGAACTGTTATTAATCCTAAATCACATAATTTAATGAACCGTCCGTTTCGGATATCGTCGGCAATCAATATGTTGTCGGGTTTGAGATCCCTGTGAATGACCGGTGGTTTCAATTCATGCAAATATCGGACACATTCTAACACTTCTAATAGTATTTCACACGTAATGTAATACTCCATACAATCCATGGGTTCATCTAATGATTGTTTTCTGTTAAATACCTGTGTTTTCAATTTGATGCCATCTTTCAGACTCATTAAGCAATACTCCATTTGAATATATATACAATTATTATAACCCCAAACACCTATCACATTCACTAAATATTGTGCCGTTATTTTAGTCATATTTTCAAGTTCTTTTAAATAAATATCGTTTGTTAAACCTTTTTTTGTAAATATTTAAAAGATTAGTTATTATTATTAGTTATAAAAATTTATTTTAAAATATATCACCTGGTAATATAATTATTTTTATTGCACAGAAATATTTATCTAATTTATGTTTGCATTTATAAACAGATCCAAAGCTTCCCGAACCCAATAGTTTCAACTCATCATAACATCGATAATATGTGTTATGAATATTAACTATAGATTTTAAAATAAAATTATTATTCTAAATACTAGTAAAAAACAATATAAATATATACTAACTAGTGTTTAATGAACCAATTGTTTTATGATTATTTTTGATTAAGTTTAATGTATTTTCAATAAATTTAATTATATTTTCATTGAATTCATAAGCGATATATGTTTTATAAGTTATTTGATATAAATCGACACAAAAATCAAAATAGTTATTAAAATCAGTTTTAAATTTTTTACTGTTTTTTAATTTATAGATAACATCATCCATTGAACAGAAATATGTTATACGATTCCATTTATATGATATAATCGATTGAATATCAGAAAATTGATTGCAATTTCCCAAAAATTTTGGTGTCATTTGTATATCAAGTGCATTGTTTTGATTGTAATATTTACCACAAAAATATACTTCATTTTTATTACTACTACTAAAATATGTTTCTCCAACACCCGATTGTATTGATGTAATACCAGACAAATTGCATATCAATTGTGGTCTAAATATTATCAAATCAATGCTATTAAGTCCCAATTGATTGTCTCGATTGTGACCCCAACTAAACACTTGTCCATCACTTGTCAGTGCAAACGATGAGTTATCAAAACAGTGAACAGATTTTATACAATAATTAACATTGAATTCAATTTTTTCAGGTCTTATTATAGCATCGCAAGTGATGTCTCGACTACCGATTTGTAAGAATGTATTACTACCCCAACCATACACTTCATTATTATTTTCGGTTACAATTAATGTATGAAATGAACCACAACTAACATCACGTATTAAATCATTGTTTGCATTGATTTGTACTATCATTGGTGTCTTATATTCATTATCATCACTACTCTTACCCAATTGTCCGTATCTATTATAACCACAACTATATAAACAATTATCACTCGACACAAAAACTAAGAATTCTTCTCCGTTTAAGAAATTAATACACTTTTTATGTCTCAATTCAATGATCTCTTGTGGTTCACTCACCCACTGGTTGTGTCCCAAACCCAGTGATCCCCAGAGATTAGCACCCAATCCATAGACCCGATCATCGATAGTCACAAACAACATATTAACACCTAAATCGTCGTCAAACACATAAAACCTTTCAATCCTTTTGATCCAATCATTTGGTGTTAAGGTTTGTGTTTTCATTTCTTTATTATTTATGACATTTTGTATTAAATTAGATTTTTCTTCATTTTTAGAAGTATTTTCATTCAAAACATTTGATTTTAATTTATTTGATTTATTACCCGTATTTTCATAATTATTTGTCAGTTGTTTAATATTAATTTCAATTAATTCATTTAATTTTTTAGTATTATTATTAGACATAATTATTAAAAATTTAATATAGTTAATAAATAATATTTTAATATTTTATTTTATAGTATTTATTAATAAAACTGTAATTATCTTTATTTAACACAATAATTAAGTAAAAAAAAGTATTATATCTTAAATTAAATTATCAAACAATAAGATAATATCCCATTGTAACTAAAATATTATAGATATTTACAATAATATTTAGTAAAACATTTTCTTTAAATACAATTTTTATATTTATTATTACATTTATGTTTTAATAAATCTAAAACATATTTTTAATGTATGAAATAATAAAATCTTTAAGATTATATCTAAGTGTAACCAATAGATATTATTTTTATTATTACTATTACTATTATATAGATAATATTATTAACAATAGAAATAGACAAATTAAATATAAATAAAAAACAACTATTTTATAATTTTATTATATTTTTTTCATCAAACAAACCATAATTAGACAAAAACTCAAATAATAATTTTTTTGATAATAGAAAAAAACTATATAATAATATTAATGATAACTAATTTATTTCAAATTATTAGCATATAATAAAAATTATTTAACAAATTTATGATTCAATGGATTAATGCTTAAATATCTATTTTATATTTCTATAAAAACTAAATTAAACAAAAAAAAATAAACAAATATTTTCAATAATTTTTGTTTTTATTAAATTCAAATCTTGTATTAAAAAAGAATGTTTTTTTTAAATAAATAAATAATTATTTTATTTTAATAAAGAGAAAATAGTTAAATAAAACTAATTTTCTTAAATAAATAAAATTTAATTATTTAACAAATTATTTGTTTTCATTGTTACGGCTGATTTTTTATTATAGTTATTATTTATTCCAAATAGTTTTAAAAAATACTATGACCTAGTTTAGCTTCAACATCAACTGTGTTTAATACTATATGAAAATAAAAATATTTTTTTTAAATAGTAGTATAAAAAATATTTTTTTTAAATAGTAGTATAAAAAATATTTTTTTTAAATAGTAGTATAAAAAATAATAATAAAATAATTATTTCATAACAAAAAAAACTTAATAATGTAAATTATATTAATTTCTAATTCTATTTTAATTTAAAAAACACTTGGATATTTATTACTATTTAAATAAATATCTATTAATATCTATTAGTTAGACTTGGATATTATCTTATTATTTGACTAATAGATATTAATTAATTTATATTGATGGAATAAATAATAATTTTAAGTAATATTTTTTATATTATACAATAAAGTTAAAATTGATAATTAAAATTAAATGTTTTTATTTATTTATTAATTGATAGTTTACTTTACAAAAAAATTATTATGAAAAAATTATTTTCAATGAATTTATTAGTTGAAATTTATTTAGTGTTAATTATTACAAATTAGCACCCAATCCATAGACCCGATCATCGATAGTCACAAACAACATATTAACTCCCAGTTTGTCGTCAAACACATAAAATCTTTCAATCCTTTCGATCCAATCATTTGGTGTTAAAACTAGTTTATTATTATTATTACCCATATTTTCATTATTATTTGTCACAATTTAATAAATATTTCTAATTGTTACTAATTGTTACTAAATTTAATAAAATATTATTTGAAATTTTTATATTTAACATTTATGCTATCTTTTATTGTATGAAAATGAAATTTATGATTATATCCCAATGTAACCAATAGAAATTTATTAATAATATTATTTTTATAATGATAAAAATACTAACTAATAATCTTATAAATTACTAAGCTACTTAATAAATTAAAATAATGCTTACTAAACTATTAAAAGTAATTTTATTAATATTATAATAGTGACTAAAAATTAATTATACTATAAAAAATATTATTTTATTATCTTATATATATATAATATTTTTAATAATAAAATTCAAAACTATCTACAAAATACAATATTATAATCTTGATTATGTATATTTATTTGATAAAATATTTAACAAGTTCAGTTATAAATAGTAAAAAATATACAGTAATAATGTATATAAAGTAATAATTCTTAATATAAAAATAATTATAAAATTTATATTATGTTTAAAAATATATATTATATAACTTATAATATTTAATAGACTAAACCTATTTTTAGATTACTATTAAATTTTAGAAATTATCTTTACTTAATTAATTAATAAATATTAATTTTTTTAAATTATAAAATAAAAGAAAAAAATTAATAAAATGATTATTGATTATCATTGAATTTATAAATAACAAATGGTTATTAAAATTAATAAATAATATTATTTATAACTGTTGATAGACATCAATGTTGATAACCTCTTAAAACTTTTTAAATTAAAACTCATAGATTATTTATATTTATATTTATATTTACTACTAGTTATAAATAATCTTTTTTTTTGTTTCAAATAAATCTACAATTGTTGTATTATACAAAAACATTTGACAATGAGAATATATAATTAGGATTAAATTATTATTATTATTTATTACAATAATAGTAAAATAAATAGACTAATAGTTAATTAGAAAATATTTAAATTCAAACAATTAGTTTTAATGCAAACAAATGTATAGAAAATTTCCCAAAATTCTGGCTCAGAATCCCTGTCCTCTGAACGGAGTTCCCATTCATTGTGTTTAATTTTCTTTAGTTTTTCCTCAAACATGGCATCAGTTGTAACAACAGTGCTATCAATAGCCCAATCATTGTACTGTTCAATCATATGAGCACAGGTAGGTCTGTCATTATAGACCGGTTGCATCGTTTGTTTTATAATATCTAATAGTTTACAATATTTATTACTCCAATCGTATTGAATATATTTATTAGGAGAACTAATAACAGAAAAATAATTAAATAAATATTTAAATTAGTATTCAAAATACAAACTCATTGACATCCGTATCGAACAACTCTTCAATAATAACACTAATACTATAGACATCAGCTTTGGTGTCATATTTACGACCACTTATGACTTCGGGTGCCATATATTTAGGACTTCCCACACCTGACGTATGACTTTGTGATATCATTTCGTGAACTGTTATTAATCCTAAATCACATAATTTAATGAACCGCCCGTTTATGATATAGTTAGCAATCAATATGTTGTCGGGTTTGAGATCCCTGTGAATGACCGGTGGATTCAATTCATGCAAATATCGGACACATTCTAACACTTCTAATAGTATTTCACACGTAATGTAATACTCCATACAATCCATGGGTTCATCTGATGACTGTCTGTTAAATACCTGTGCTTTCAATTTGATGCCATCTTTCAGACTCATTAAGCAATACTCCATTGTAATATATATACAATTATTATAACCCCAAACTCCTAATACATTGACTAAATATTGTTCCGTTATTTTAGTCACTTTTTCAAATTCTTTTAAATAAATATTGTTTGTTAAACTTTCTGAAAATATTAAAAATATTAATAATTAATAAAAAATAAATTAAATAAATCAATTTAAATAAATTAATAACCTGGTAATTTAATTATTTTTATTGCTTCAATTGTATTATATAATTTATATTCGCATTTAAAAACCGATCCAAAGCTTCCCGAACCCAATAGTTTCAACTCATCATAACATCGATAATATATATTATGAATATTATCTATTGAGTTTAAAATCAAATTATTATTATAAATACTAGTAAAAAACAATATAAATATATACTAACTAGTGTTTAATGAACCAATTGTTTTATGATTATTTTTGATAAAGTTTAATGAATTTTCAATAAATTTAATCATATTTTCAGTGAATTCATAAGCGATATATGTTTTATAAGTTATTTGATATAAATCGACACAATATTCAAAATAATTATTAAAATCTGATTTAAATTTTCTACTGTTTCTCACTTCATAGACCATATCATTCATTAAACAAAAATATGTTCTATTATTCCATTTATATGATTTAATCGATTGAATATCAGAAAATTCATTACAATTTCCTAATAATTTTGGTTTCATTTGTATATCAATTTCATTGTTTTCATTGTAATATTCGCCACAAAAATATACTTCATTTTTATAACTACTACTAAAATATGTTTCTCCAAAACCCGATTGTATTGATGTAATGCCATTCAAATTGCATATCAATTGTGGTCTAAATATTATCAAATCACTGCTATTAAGTCCCAATTGATTTCTACTATTGTAACCCCAACTAAACACCTGTCCATCACTTGTCAGTGCAAACGATGAGCAATCAAAACAGTGAACAGATTTTATACAATAATTATCATTGAATTCAATCTTTTCTGGTTTAGTAATAGCATCACAAGTGGTGTCTCGGCTACCGATTTGTCCGATTGTATTATTACCCCAACCATACACTTCATTATTATTTTCGGTTACAACTAATGTGTGAAATGAACCACAACTCACATCACGTATTAAATCATTATTTTCGTTGATTTGTATAATCATTGGTTTTTTAGTTTCAAAATCTTCATTTCCTTGACACAACTGTCCCCATCTATTAAAACCACAAATATATAAACTGTTATCACTCGAAACAAATATCATAAATTCAGATCCGTTTATGAAATTAACAATTTTTTTATGTCTCAATCCAATGATCTCTTTAGGTTCACTCATCCACTGGTTGTGTCCTAAACCTAGTGATCCCCAATAATTAGCACCCAATCCATAAACCCGATCATCTTTGGTAACAAACAACATATTAACTCCGAGTTTGTCATCAAATACATAAAATCTGTCAATAATTTTGATCCAATCATTTGGTGTTTTCATTTTTAATTCTAAGATTTCAATATATTCTGATTTAATAAAATTAATAATATATACAATGAATTTTGTAATATTTTCTGTAAATTCATTAGACATATATGTTTTATAAGTTATAGGATATCTATCGACACAATAATCAAAATAATTTGTATAATTTGTTTTTAATTTTTTATCTCTTATTAGTTTATAGACAATGCCATCCATTAGACACAATGGTGTTCTATCCGTACATTTATATGATTTCATTGACTGAATATCTGAATATTCGTTACAATTACCCAATAATTTTGGTATTAATTGTATAGAAATTTTATTTAATTCATTGTAATATTCACCACAAAAATAGATTTCATTTTTATGATCACTAATAAAAAATGTTATTCAAAATCCTAGTTTTATAGATGTTATACCAAACAAATTGCTGATTAATTGTGGCAAACATATCCTATCATTATTATTATTATTATTATGTCCTAATATATTGTTACAGTTTTGTCCCCAACTAAACACCTGTCCATCCATTGTCAGTGCAAACGATGATTGTTCAAAACAATGAACAGATTTTATACAATAATTGACATCAAAAACAATTTTTTCGGGTCTAATGATGGCATCAGAATCAGTGTTTTGACTACCGATTTGTCCGAAATCATTGCGACCCCAACCATACACTTCATTATTATTTTCGGTTACAACTAATGTATGATATGAACCACAACTAACATCACATATTAAATCATTGTTTTCATTGATTTGTATAATCATTGGTTTGTTATATTCCTTATCATCACTTCTATAACCCAATTGTCCGAATCTATTATAACCCCAACTATACAAACAATTATCACTCGACACACAAACAATAAATTCTTCACCATTTATGAAATTAATACACTTTTTATGTCTCAATTCAATGATCTCTTGTGGTTCACTCACCCACTGGTTGTGTCCCAAACCCAGTGATCCGCAGAGATTAGCACCCAATCCATAGACCCGATCATCATCTTTGGTCACAAACAACATATTAACTCCCAGTTTGTCGTCAAACACATAAAACCTTTCAATCCTTTTGATCCAATTATTTGTTGCTAAGGTTTGTGTTTTGATTTCAGTAGTATTTATTACATTTGTTTTTAATTTTTTAGATTTATTTCCTGTATTATAATAATTATTGGTCACATTATTATTATTAGCCATTATTATTATAATTTACTTTATAAAGAATTTTTTAAATAATTTTATTCACATATTTCTTAATAAAAATGTTTTATAATATACTTATCACTATTTATTCAATAATTAAACAAAAAGTATTATAACTCAATAATTCAAACAATAAGTTAGTATCCACTTGTAACAAATATATATATATATTAATTTTTATTGATAATTTTTTTTTAAAAAAAATGTTTATTTAATTTTAATCTTATGATTTTTGACATTTTATTATTAGTTTATTTATTATCATAAATATGCATTATATAGTATATTATAAATATTAATTAGTATTAAAGTTATAAAAATAATTTATATTTTGTTGTATATTTTTTTTATAAATATTTGATAAAATAAATTATTGATAATTAGTACTTGAACTTTAGTTTATATATATATATTATTATTATTAGTTAACTATTATTTATAATGAAATTCAATTGAAATAGTTTATTGAAATCATTATATCGATAACTAAATTAAAATATTAGTTATTTATTACTTTATAATTAGTTTTTTTTCATAATAACAATAGTTATAATGTTTATTCAATTCATTGTTTATTAATATTATTTTATTAGTTAAAAAATATTTATTGAAAAATTTTGTTCATAAAATTAAAATTAAAAAAATATAATTTATTAAACTTATTGTTTTTCCTATATATTGATAAAAAATTATTATAAATGTTAAATACTTGAAACACTTTATTATTATTATTATTATTACTTAAATATTATTATTCAATGATAACAATTGAAATATTTATCAAAGTATTAACGATATCTAAGTTTTGACATTTAACTTGAATTTATTATAATTAAAATAAATTTCTTTAAAAAATTATTATTAAGATTTAAAAAAAAAATTTGTTTAATAGAATAAAACAATTTAAAATTAAAAAAATAAATTTCACTATTATACATTATTTCATTAAAAAAATATTTTTAAATAAATGCAATAAAGTTTTTTTTTGTTAAAATTTATTTTAATTTATTTTATTATTACAATATATAATTTTGTATTATCATAGAAATGTTATTTATTAAATATTATCTAATTTTTATTATTATTACAATAAATATTTAATAAAATATCAGTTAATAACAATTTAATAAAAAACAATTGTAATGTGATAATAAACTTTTTTTCTAAAATTATAATTCAAAAAAAATAATAATAAAATAATAATTTGTTTGTTTAGCACTAGATATATATATATATATAATTATATTATATTATTATTATTATTACATAATAAAAATTTTAGTTATAGATGATTAACAAATTATAACAATAAGTTAAAAATAAACAAATAATAAATTAAATAAAAACATTTTTCAATTATGACTATTATGAATACTAATAATATTATAGTCAAAATATAAGAGTAATAAAAAAATTATAGTTTATTTTAATTATAATTATTTAAAAATTAACTGAATTATTATAAAAAAAATTAAAATAAAATAGTAAATTGCTTACAATTACAACTTTAACTATAATACTCTAACTAAACTGCAAAAGCATATAATAAATATATCAATAGTAGTTAAAAAAAATTATATAATAATAATGAACTAATTAATAAAAAAAATATTATTTAATAAAATTAATTAAACAAACCTATGGTTCAGTTGAGCTGATGTTTAGATAACTATTTTATGTTTCTATAAAAAAAACTAAACAAAACAAAAAAATACAAAAATAATTTCAATTAATTAATTTTTGATTTTATTAAATTCAAATCTTACATTAAAAAAATATATATTTTAATTCAATATTCAATAAATTTAAAATTTATAATAATTATTATTATAATTATTATGTATTATTACAGAATTAAATAGTAAAAATAAAACTTATTTTTTCTATATAAATAATAAATAAAATTTTGTTATTAAATAATTTGTTTTTTATTGTAACGGCTCTGATTGCGATTCATATATATATAACTACATTAAAATAATAATAATTATTATTATTATTATTATGCACCAAAACCATAACGTAGACTTTGTGGTTTAGCTTTACCATCAACTGTGCTTGATACTATATTTAAAAAAATAAATAAATAATTTTTTTACAAAAAAAACAATACTATAAAAACATTTAATTTACAACAACAACAACAACAACAACATTAACAAACTTACGTAAAGCTATGATAACCACTGCAACCAATACAACAAAGCGATTCATTGTTTATTTAAAATTTTTATTAATTTTTTTTTTAAATTATCTCAAAAACTGTTTTTTTTTAATTTTTTGTTGTTAACAGTCTTAACAGGCTTATATATCTTAATAATTTCATTAAAAAAATTTATAATTAACATATGTATAGATTATGTAATTAAAATTTAATACTATAATTATTATTAAAAAATTATTACAAAAATTATGTAATATTATAAGTTATTTACGCATTTATAATGTATTATTTTGTTATAAAAAATGTAAATTAAAAAAAATTATATTAAAAAATTCTTTTATTGTGTAATAAATTTTATTAAAAAATTTATTATACAATATCCTTTTTTGTTTATTGACGCAAATAATCTATGAAATTATTTATAAAAAAAATATTTTTAAAATACATAGTATTAGAAAATTATAATTTAGACGATAATAATTAAAATAAAACATTTTTTTTTTGGAATAAACATTATAAATAATATTTATTAATATAAAACAAATAAATATAATAAAAGTTGAAATTAAAAATAAAAGATTATTATTGTTAAAAAAAACTAAAACTAATTAATCTCTAAATTGAACTATAATTATAAATCATAAAATTTCTTAATTAAATATTATAAAAAGTTATAAATTTTTATCAAACATTAAAGTTGTATATATTACTAAATATTTTTTAATTATTATATTTCTTATAAATTAATACAACAATAATATTTATAAGTAAAACATTTTATTATAAAAATTTTTCTAATTAACATTTAAGTTATGATTAATATAAATAGTATTTTTTATTATTATATGAAAATGAAATAACCATTAATTTTAAGATAATATCCCAGTGTAACCAATAAATATTTTTATTATAAATATATAGATAAAAAAAATATTTGCTGTTAGTTAATAAAATAAAATAATTGTATTATATATAAAGTATTATTTTAAGTTATTAATAATCATTTTTATTTATTAATTATTTAGTTTATTTTTTGTTGTTGTAATTTAATAGTAAAAGCCAATACCTGTGCTTTGATACTATTGGTTTGATAATTACTATCACTACTATCACAACTATTACTTGTTTTATCAGATTTTATGTGTGGGTCGACCAGTGATGACTACCTAAACCACTGATTTGTTGACAACAACAACAACAATGTAACGGTAAACTAGACGGTATACTGTCGGTATAATTAGCACCCAATCCATAAACTCGATCATCGGTAGTAACAAACAGTACATTAACTCCCAGTTCGTCGTCAAACACACAAAATCTTTCAATCCTTTTGATCCAATTATTTGTTGCTAAGGTTTGTGTTTTGATTTCAGTAGTATTTATTACATTTGATTTTAATTTTGTAGATTTATTGCCCGTATTATCATAAGGATTGGTCACATTGTTTTTATTATTATTTTCAAAAAAGTCAATTAATTTTTTAGTATTATTGTTATTAGCCAATATTATTATAATTTACTTTTTAATGAATTTTTTTCACATAATATTTATTAATAAAACTATTTTTTATAATATAATTATCACTATTTATTTAATAATTAAGCATAAAGTATTATAACTCAATAATTCAAACAATAAGATCCAATTGTAACTAATAGATATCTATTAATTTTTATTGATAATTTTTTTTTTAAAAATGTTTACTTAGTTTTAATCTTATGATTTTTGACATTTTATTATTAGTATATTTATTATCATACATCAGATATTATAAATAGTATTAAAGTTAAAAAATAATTTATATTTTGTTAAATATTTTTGTAAATATTTGATAAAATAAATTATTGATAATTAGTACTTGAACTTTATTTCTATATATTTTTTTATTATTAGTTAATTATTATCTATAATTCAATAAGATAGTATCCAATTGCTAACCAATGTTATGGTCATAACATTAATAATTGATTTTTTTAACAAAAAATAAAGATTAGAATTTTATTTATTTATTATTTAATTATAAACTTTTTAGTAAATTTATAGTTTCTAAATAGTTATAAAAATTTAGTTTTATAAAAGTAATATTAAAAAAATCAATAAAAATCATAATTAACTGATTATTATTTATAATTGATTTTATAATTAACAAATGTATAGAATATTTCCCAAAATTTTGGCTCAGAATCCCTGTCCTCTGAACGGAGTTCACATTCTTTTGATTTTATTTGTTGTAATTTTTCTTCAAACATCACATCATTTGTAACAATACTTTTATCAATAGCCCAATCATTGTATCGGTTAATGATCTGAGCACAGGTAGGTCTCTTTGCATATAAAGTTTTTGTTGCACTAATTGTTATGTCAAACAATTGCCGATATTTATCACACCATTCGCTTGATATATATTTATCATGTGATCTAAAAATAAATAAAGAAAAGAAATAAATATTAAATTAATTAAAAGTTTTAAACATTTTTCACTAAAAAATTATTTATTATAATAATATTTATAACTAACTCATTGATATCAAATTCAAATAGTTTTTCAATTGTAGCCCCAATACTATAGACATCAGCTTTTGTATTGTATTTACGACCACCTATTACTTCGGGTGCTATAAAATTAGGAGTTCCCACTCGTGACGTATGACTTTGCGATAAGCTATCTTGTATTGTAATTAATCCCAAATCACATAACTTAATGAACCGTCCGTTTATGATATCGTTAGCAATCAATATGTTGTCGGGTTTGAGATCCCTGTGAATGACCGGTGGATTCAATTCATGCAAATATCGGACACATTCTAACACTTCTAACAGTAGTTCACACGTAATGTAATACTCCATACAATCCATGGGTTCATCTGATGATTGTCTGTTGAATATCTGTGCTTTCAATTTGATGGTCTCTTTTAGATTCATTAAACAATATTCCATATAAATATATATACAATCTTCATAAGCCGTAAATGCAAATACATAGACTAAATATTGTGCCGTTATTTTAGTCACTTTTTCAATTTCTTTTAAATAAATATCGTTTGTTAAACTTTTTTCTATAAATATTTAAAATATTATTAATTAATAAATAATTATAAAATTATAAATAAAAATTTTAATACTGTATATTAATAACCTGATAATTTAATTATTTTTATTGCTTCAATGTTATTATCTAATTTATTTTTGCATTTATAAACCGATCCAAAGCTTCCCGAACCCAATAGTTTCAGCTCATCATAACATCGATAATATGTGTTATGAATATTATCTATTGATTTTAATTTTAAATTATTATTATAAATACTAATAAAAAACAATATAAATATATACTAACTAGTGTCTAATGAATCAATTAATTTATAATTGGTTTTAATTAAATTTATTGTATTTTCAATAAATTTAATCATATTTTCAGTGAATTCATAAGCGATATATGTTTTATAAGTTATTTGATATAAATCAACACAATATTCAAAATAATGATTAAAATTTGTTTTAAATTTTCTACTTTTTATCACTTCATAGACCATATCATCCATTGAACAGAAATGTGTCCTTTTATTCCATTTATATGATATAATCGATTGAATATCAGAAAATTGTTTACAATTTCCTATTAATTTTGGTATCATTTGTATATCAATCGCAACAACGTTTTCATTGTAATATTGACCACAAAAATATACTTCATTTTTATTACTATTACTAAAATATGTTTGTCCTCCACCCGATTGTATTGATGTAATGCCATTCAAATTGCATATCAATTGTGGTCTAAATAATATCAAATCACTGCAATTAAGTCCCAATTGATTGCTACTATTGAGTCCCCAACTAAACACTTGTCCATCACTTGTCAGTGCAAACGATGAGTTATGAAAACAGTGAACAGATTTAAAACAATAATTGTCATTAAATTCAATCTTTTCGGGTGTATTAATGTCTACACAAGTGGTGTCTCGACTACCGATTTGTCCGAAATGATTGCGACCCCAACCATACACTTCATTATTATTTTCGGTTACAACTAATGTATGATATGTACCACAACTCACATCACGTATTAAATCATTGTTTTCATTGATTTGTAAAATCATTGGTTTTTCATATTTATTATCATCATATCTCTGACCCAATTGTCCCCATCTATTATAACCACAACTATAAACTCTGTTATCACTCGACACACAAACAATAAATTCAGATCCGTTTATAAAATTAATAATATTTTTATGTCTCAATTCAATGATCTCTTGTGGTTCACTCACCCACTGGTTGTGTCCCAAACCCAGTGATCCGTAGAGATTAGCACCCAATCCATAGACCCGATCATCGGTAGTAACAAACAGCATATTAACTCCCAGTTTGTCGTCAAACACATAAAAACTTTCAATCCTTTTGATCCAATCATTAGGTGTTAAAACTAGTTTATTGTTAATATTACCCATATTTTCATTATTATTGGTCACAATTTACAAAATATTTTTCTAATTTTTATTTATGAAATATTTAATATTTTATTATAACAATTTTTATATTTTTACATTTCTTTTATTATTAATCTAAATCGTATTTTTTATTATTATATAAAAATGAAATAACCAATAACTTTAAGATAATATCCCAGTGTAACCAATAGATATTTTTATTATTATTAATATATAGATAAAAAAAATATATTTGCTGTTAGTTAATAAAATAAAATAATCATATTATATATGAAAAGTATAATTAAAAAGTATTAATAATGATTATGTGATGATCTATACATCACTTAAGCTGTTCTAATGTCACCAAAGCAATACAAAGTTACATTGTAGTTATAACTATACTAAACTGTGTATATTTAAGCTTCTCTATATATATTTCTCTATTATACTTTAACATAACATAGTTATTAAATTATAATTAAATATAATTCATATTATTTCTATTTTTGTATTTATTTACTATTACTTATTATTACGTTTATTTGTTTAAATTGATTTATACTTTATTATTAATTATGTAAATTAGTTAAATTAATTATTATTATGTTTAATATACTGTAATTTGCAATGCATGTAAACTATTGACTATCTCATTATATTTATCAATAAAAGTGAGTCCGGGTTGAGTCCAGGCTAGCAATAGCTAGTCTAGGAAGGACTTTAAAGATTGTAAACATTGACTACTTATTAATAGTGATGTTAGCCTTAAGTGTATTGACAATTGATTCATAAATTCCGATAAATCGGATGTATCTATTTGTCGATCCGTTAAAAGGCTCCTTAATACTAAATACCGATATACAGCGCAGTTATCAGTGACCAGAGCCTCGAATGGGCCATTCATATATACTGTGACGTAGTAAATAAACTATCCAAATATACCATAACTCCTAAATAGTCATAAATTACGTCACAGTTCCCTATCAAACATTGCATATTGCTTCGTAAAGTTATCTTTACGGGCATTTTGACGGTAAACTTTAAACCCGCACCGTCACAATTATATTATTTATCTATAATTTAGTTTATTTTTATTAGTAGGAAAAGTGAATACCTGTGCGTCAACACTATAGGTTTGACAATCACTACCACTACCATCACAACTATCACTTGTTTGATACAATTTTATACGTGGGTCGACCAGACATGGCTACCTATACCACTGACTTGTCGACAACAACAACAACAATGCAACGGTAAACTAGACGGTACACTGCCGTACCATTTAGCCACTACTGGCGCGGCGGATAGTTCCGGCAAACCCTGATGGCCAGTGCCGATACCATCCGTCACAGTATATGCATAGTCAAGGCTCGCATTATTAGTTTATCGGTAAATCTGGTCAACAAAACACAAACTACTGGCCACTGAACCAGTGCTAACCAATATTATGGTCATAATATTAGTAATTGTTTTTTTGCCCAAAAAAATAAAGATTAGAATTTTATTTATTATTTATTTAATTATAAACTTTTTAGTAAATTTATAGTTTACTATCTAAATAGTTATGAAAATTTAGTTTTATAAAAGTAATATACAAAAAGTTAAATAAAAATCATAATTAACTGATTATTATTTATTATTGAGTTTATAATTAACAAATGTATAGAATATTTCCCAAAATTACTTAATAGTATATATTTTATTAATATCTAATAATTTATAAAACAGTTGAACATTTATTACTATTTAAGCAATAATAAAAACAAATATAATATATTTTAAACAATATAATTCAAACAATAGGATAGTATCCAAGAGTAACTAATAGATTATAATTAATTTATATTGATGAAATAAATAATTTTAATTACTGTATATTATAAAATAAAGTTAAAATGCATAATTAATAGTAAATATTTTTATTTATTTATTTATTGAGTTATTGTAAAAAATTATTTACAAATATATAATAAGTATAGATTATTACAAAAAAAATATAAAACTCAAACAACAATCAAAACTAATAAAAGTTATTTCATTAATATTATAAAACTAAATAGAAATAATTAAACAATAAAATAATATTTATTGTATTATATTAAATATGTTTAATAATATAATGCAATACTTTATATTATTATAACCTTGATTATTTATCTTTAGTTATTTATTTAATTGATAAAATATTTATGAATTTCAGTTATAAATATTAAAAATATATACAGTAATAATTTTCACAAAGTAATAAGTAAGTAATTTAGCAATAATTATAATATCGATATTATGTTTAAAAATATATATCTTATATAACTTATAATATTTAACAGAAAAAAACATTTTTTATATAACTATTAAAAATTAGAAATTCAAAAACTTTTAATTCAATAATCTTTGCATAATTAATGAAAAATACTATTTTTTTTAGTTATAAAAGACAAGCAAAAAAATGTAGTAAAATGCATAATAAGTTGATTATTATTTATTATTGAGTTTATAGTTAACAAATGTATAGAATATTTCCCAAAATTTTGGCTCAGAATCCCTGTCCTCTGAACGGAGTTCACATTCTTTTGATTTTATTTGTTGTAATTTTTCTTCAAACTTCCCATCATTTGTAACAATACTTTTATCAATAGACCAATCATTGTATCGTTCAATAATCTGAGCACAGGTAGGTCTCTCTTTATATAATGTTTTTGTTGCACTAATTGTTATGTCAAACAATTGCCGATATTTATCACACCATTCGCTTGATATATATTTATCATGTGATCTAATAATAAATAAATGAAATTTTAAAATATCTAAAAAATCATTTAATTATATAATTTACTCATTTATATCAAATTCAAATAGTTTTTCAATTGTAGCCCCAATACTATAGACATCAGCTTTTGTATTGTATTTGCGACCACCAATTACTTCAGGTGCTATAAAATTAGGAGTTCCCACTCGTGACGTATGACTTTGTGATAAGCTATCGTGAATTGTTATTAATCCTAAATCACATAATTTAATGAACCGTCCGTTTCTGATATCGTTAGCAATCAATATGTTATCGGGTTTGAGGTCGCGATGAATAACCGGTGGATTCAATTCATGTATATATCGGACACATTCTAACACTTCTAATAGCAGTTCACACGTAATGTAATACTCCATACAATCCATGGGTTCATCTGATTATTGTTTTCATTGATTTGTATAATCATTGGTGTCTTATATATCTTATCATTACATCTATGGCCCAATTGTCCCAAACTATTATAACCACAAATATATAAACAATTATCACTCGAAACACAAACAATAAATTCCATTCCGTTTATGAAATTAATACACTTTTTATGTCTCAATTCAATGATCTCTTGTGGTTCACTCACCCACTGGTTGTGTCCCAAACCCAATGATCCCCAGAGATTAGCACCCAATCCATAGACCCGATCATCTGTAGTCACAAACAACATATTAACTCCCAGTTCGTCGTCAAACACATAAAATCTTTCAATCCTTTTGATCCAATCATTTGGTGTTAAGTCTTGTGTTTTCACTTTTATATTATTTATTACATTTTGTCTTAAATTATATATTCTCTCATTTTTTTTATTCAAAACATTTGTTTTCAATTTAGTAGATTTATTGCCCATATTTTGATAATTATTTGCCACACTTTTGTTTACTATTACTTTCAATCAACTCAATAAATTTATTATAATTATTAGTTATTTTTATTAAAAATTTCTTTACATAATAAAGTATTTTAATAATATTTTCATATAATTTATAAATAAAATTGTTATATAATATAATTATCACTATTTATTCACTAATTAAGTAAAAAGTATTATATCTTAAACTAAATAATTCAAACAATAAGATAGTATCCAATTGTAACTAATGAATACATTGTTTATACTTTATTTCTATATATTTTGTTATTAGTTTTATAATTAACTATTACTTATAAAGAAACTGAATTTAAATGCTTATTGAAATCATTAACAATATCTAAATTAAAATATTAGTCATTTATTTGATTGATAATTATTTTATTTTTTTTATAATAACAATAGTTATAATGTTTAACTAATGCATTGTTTATTAATTTACTTTATTTTAATAATTTTAAAAAATTTATTTATTAATATTATTTTATTAGTTAACAAATATTTATTGAAAAATTTTGTTCATAATATTAAAATATATATATATATATTATTAAAATTATTGTTTTTCCTATATATTGATAAAATATTATTATAAATGTTAAACACTTGAAACACTTTATTATTTTTATTAAATGATAACAATTGAAATATTTATCAAAGTATTAACGATATCTAAGTTTTGACATTAAACTTGAATTTATTATAATTAAAATAAATTATTATAAAAAAATTATTACGAGATTAAAAAAAATAAATTTTGTTTAATAGAATAAAACAATTTAAAATTAAAAAATAAATTTTACAATTATACATTATTTAATTAATAAAATATATTTTAATAAATTCAATAAAAAAAAATTTTGTTAAAATTTATTTTAAATTATTTTATTACTACAATATATAATTTTGTATTATCATAGAAATGTTATTTATTAAATATTATCTAATTTTTATTATTATTACAATAAATATTTAATAAAATATCAGTTAATAACAATTTAATAAAAAACAATTGTAATGTGATAATAAACTTTTTTTCTAAAATTATAATTCAAAAAAAATAATAATAAAATAATAATTTGTTTGTTTAGCACTAGATATATATATATATATAATTATATTATATTATTATTATTATTACATAATAAAAATTTTAGTTATAGATGATTAACAAATTATAACAATAAGTTAAAAATAAACAAATAATAAATTAAATAAAAACATTTTTCAATTATGACTATTATGAATACTAATAATATTATAGTCAAAATATAAGAGTAATAAAAAAATTATAGTTTATTTTAATTATAATTATTTAAAAATTAACTGAATTATTATAAAAAAAATTAAAATAAAATAGTAAATTGCTTACAATTACAACTTTAACTATAATACTCTAACTAAACTGCAAAAGCATATAATAAATATATCAATAGTAGTTAAAAAAAAATTATATAATAATAATGAACTAATTAATAAAAAAAATATTATTTAATAAAATTAATTAAACAAACCTATGGTTCAGTTGAGCTGATGTTTAGATAACTATTTTATGTTTCTATAAAAAAAACTAAACAAAACAAAAAAATACAAAAATAATTTCAATTAATTAATTTTTGATTTTATTAAATTCAAATCTTACATTAAAAAAATATATATTTTAATTCAATATTCAATAAATTTAAAATTTATAATAATTATTATTATAATTATTATGTATTATTACAGAATTAAATAGTAAAAATAAAACTTATTTTTTCTATATAAATAATAAATAAAATTTTGTTATTAAATAATTTGTTTTTTATTGTAACGGCTCTGATTGCGATTCATATATATATAACTACATTAAAATAATAATAATTATTATTATTATTATTATGCACCAAAACCATAACGTAGACTTTGTGGTTTAGCTTTACCATCAACTGTGCTTGATACTATATTTAAAAAAAAATAAATAAATAATTTTTTTACAAAAAAAACAATACTATAAAAACATTTAATTTACAACAACAACAACAACAACAACATTAACAAACTTACGTAAAGCTATGATAACCACTGCAACCAATACAACAAAGCGATTCATTGTTTATTTAAAATTTTTATTAATTTTTTTTTTAAATTATCTCAAAAACTGTTTTTTTTTAATTTTTTGTTGTTAACAGTCTTAACAGGCTTATATATCTTAATAATTTCATTAAAAAAATTTATAATTAACATATGTATAGATTATGTAATTAAAATTTAATACTATAATTATTATTAAAAAATTATTACAAAAATTATGTAATATTATAAGTTATTTACGCATTTATAATGTATTATTTTGTTATAAAAAATGTAAATTAAAAAAAAATTATATTAAAAAATTCTTTTATTGTGTAATAAATTTTATTAAAAAATTTATTATACAATATCCTTTTTTGTTTATTGACGCAAATAATCTATGAAATTATTTATAAAAAAAATATTTTTAAAATACATAGTATTAGAAAATTATAATTTAGACGATAATAATTAAAATAAAACATTTTTTTTTTTTTGGAATAAACATTATAAATAATATTTATTAATATAAAACAAATAAATATAATAAAAGTTGAAATTAAAAATAAAAGATTATTATTGTTAAAAAAAACTAAAACTAATTAATCTCTAAATTGAACTATAATTATAAATCATAAAATTTCTTAATTAAATATTATAAAAAGTTATAAATTTTTATCAAACATTAAAGTTGTATATATTACTAAATATTTTTTAATTATTATATTTCTTATAAATTAATACAACAATAATATTTATAAGTAAAACATTTTATTATAAAAATTTTTCTAATTAACATTTAAGTTATGATTAATATAAATAGTATTTTTTATTATTATATGAAAATGAAATAACCATTAATTTTAAGATAATATCCCAGTGTAACCAATAAATATTTTTATTATAAATATATAGATAAAAAAAATATTTGCTGTTAGTTAATAAAATAAAATAATTGTATTATATATAAAGTATTATTTTAAGTTATTAATAATCATTTTTATTTATTAATTATTTAGTTTATTTTTTGTTGTTGTAATTTAATAGTAAAAGCCAATACCTGTGCTTTGATACTATTGGTTTGATAATTACTATCACTACTATCACAACTATTACTTGTTTTATCAGATTTTATGTGTGGGTCGACCAGTGATGACTACCTAAACCACTGATTTGTTGACAACAACAACAACAATGTAACGGTAAACTAGACGGTATACTGTCGGTATAATTAGCACCCAATCCATAAACTCGATCATCGGTAGTAACAAACAGTACATTAACTCCCAGTTCGTCGTCAAACACACAAAATCTTTCAATCCTTTTGATCCAATTATTTGTTGCTAAGGTTTGTGTTTTGATTTCAGTAGTATTTATTACATTTGATTTTAATTTTGTAGATTTATTGCCCGTATTATCATAAGGATTGGTCACATTGTTTTTATTATTATTTTCAAAAAAGTCAATTAATTTTTTAGTATTATTGTTATTAGCCAATATTATTATAATTTACTTTTTAATGAATTTTTTTCACATAATATTTATTAATAAAACTATTTTTTATAATATAATTATCACTATTTATTTAATAATTAAGCATAAAGTATTATAACTCAATAATTCAAACAATAAGATCCAATTGTAACTAATAGATATCTATTAATTTTTATTGATAATTTTTTTTTTAAAAATGTTTACTTAGTTTTAATCTTATGATTTTTGACATTTTATTATTAGTATATTTATTATCATACATCAGATATTATAAATAGTATTAAAGTTAAAAAATAATTTATATTTTGTTAAATATTTTTGTAAATATTTGATAAAATAAATTATTGATAATTAGTACTTGAACTTTATTTCTATATATTTTTTTATTATTAGTTAATTATTATCTATAATTCAATAAGATAGTATCCAATTGCTAACCAATGTTATGGTCATAACATTAATAATTGATTTTTTTAACAAAAAATAAAGATTAGAATTTTATTTATTTATTATTTAATTATAAACTTTTTAGTAAATTTATAGTTTCTAAATAGTTATAAAAATTTAGTTTTATAAAAGTAATATTAAAAAAATCAATAAAAATCATAATTAACTGATTATTATTTATAATTGATTTTATAATTAACAAATGTATAGAATATTTCCCAAAATTTTGGCTCAGAATCCCTGTCCTCTGAACGGAGTTCACATTCTTTTGATTTTATTTGTTGTAATTTTTCTTCAAACATCACATCATTTGTAACAATACTTTTATCAATAGCCCAATCATTGTATCGGTTAATGATCTGAGCACAGGTAGGTCTCTTTGCATATAAAGTTTTTGTTGCACTAATTGTTATGTCAAACAATTGCCGATATTTATCACACCATTCGCTTGATATATATTTATCATGTGATCTAAAAATAAATAAAGAAAAGAAATAAATATTAAATTAATTAAAAGTTTTAAACATTTTTCACTAAAAAATTATTTATTATAATAATATTTATAACTAACTCATTGATATCAAATTCAAATAGTTTTTCAATTGTAGCCCCAATACTATAGACATCAGCTTTTGTATTGTATTTACGACCACCTATTACTTCGGGTGCTATAAAATTAGGAGTTCCCACTCGTGACGTATGACTTTGCGATAAGCTATCTTGTATTGTAATTAATCCCAAATCACATAACTTAATGAACCGTCCGTTTATGATATCGTTAGCAATCAATATGTTGTCGGGTTTGAGATCCCTGTGAATGACCGGTGGATTCAATTCATGCAAATATCGGACACATTCTAACACTTCTAACAGTAGTTCACACGTAATGTAATACTCCATACAATCCATGGGTTCATCTGATGATTGTCTGTTGAATATCTGTGCTTTCAATTTGATGGTCTCTTTTAGATTCATTAAACAATATTCCATATAAATATATATACAATCTTCATAAGCCGTAAATGCAAATACATAGACTAAATATTGTGCCGTTATTTTAGTCACTTTTTCAATTTCTTTTAAATAAATATCGTTTGTTAAACTTTTTTCTATAAATATTTAAAATATTATTAATTAATAAATAATTATAAAATTATAAATAAAAATTTTAATACTGTATATTAATAACCTGATAATTTAATTATTTTTATTGCTTCAATGTTATTATCTAATTTATTTTTGCATTTATAAACCGATCCAAAGCTTCCCGAACCCAATAGTTTCAGCTCATCATAACATCGATAATATGTGTTATGAATATTATCTATTGATTTTAATTTTAAATTATTATTATAAATACTAATAAAAAACAATATAAATATATACTAACTAGTGTCTAATGAATCAATTAATTTATAATTGGTTTTAATTAAATTTATTGTATTTTCAATAAATTTAATCATATTTTCAGTGAATTCATAAGCGATATATGTTTTATAAGTTATTTGATATAAATCAACACAATATTCAAAATAATGATTAAAATTTGTTTTAAATTTTCTACTTTTTATCACTTCATAGACCATATCATCCATTGAACAGAAATGTGTCCTTTTATTCCATTTATATGATATAATCGATTGAATATCAGAAAATTGTTTACAATTTCCTATTAATTTTGGTATCATTTGTATATCAATCGCAACAACGTTTTCATTGTAATATTGACCACAAAAATATACTTCATTTTTATTACTATTACTAAAATATGTTTGTCCTCCACCCGATTGTATTGATGTAATGCCATTCAAATTGCATATCAATTGTGGTCTAAATAATATCAAATCACTGCAATTAAGTCCCAATTGATTGCTACTATTGAGTCCCCAACTAAACACTTGTCCATCACTTGTCAGTGCAAACGATGAGTTATGAAAACAGTGAACAGATTTAAAACAATAATTGTCATTAAATTCAATCTTTTCGGGTGTATTAATGTCTACACAAGTGGTGTCTCGACTACCGATTTGTCCGAAATGATTGCGACCCCAACCATACACTTCATTATTATTTTCGGTTACAACTAATGTATGATATGTACCACAACTCACATCACGTATTAAATCATTGTTTTCATTGATTTGTAAAATCATTGGTTTTTCATATTTATTATCATCATATCTCTGACCCAATTGTCCCCATCTATTATAACCACAACTATAAACTCTGTTATCACTCGACACACAAACAATAAATTCAGATCCGTTTATAAAATTAATAATATTTTTATGTCTCAATTCAATGATCTCTTGTGGTTCACTCACCCACTGGTTGTGTCCCAAACCCAGTGATCCGTAGAGATTAGCACCCAATCCATAGACCCGATCATCGGTAGTAACAAACAGCATATTAACTCCCAGTTTGTCGTCAAACACATAAAAACTTTCAATCCTTTTGATCCAATCATTAGGTGTTAAAACTAGTTTATTGTTAATATTACCCATATTTTCATTATTATTGGTCACAATTTACAAAATATTTTTCTAATTTTTATTTATGAAATATTTAATATTTTATTATAACAATTTTTATATTTTTACATTTCTTTTATTATTAATCTAAATCGTATTTTTTATTATTATATAAAAATGAAATAACCAATAACTTTAAGATAATATCCCAGTGTAACCAATAGATATTTTTATTATTATTAATATATAGATAAAAAATATATTTGCTGTTAGTTAATAAAATAAAATAATCATATTATATATGAAAAGTATAATTAAAAAGTATTAATAATGATTATGTGATGATCTATACATCACTTAAGCTGTTCTAATGTCACCAAAGCAATACAAAGTTACATTGTAGTTATAACTATACTAAACTGTGTATATTTAAGCTTCTCTATATATATTTCTCTATTATACTTTAACATAACATAGTTATTAAATTATAATTAAATATAATTCATATTATTTCTATTTTTGTATTTATTTACTATTACTTATTATTACGTTTATTTGTTTAAATTGATTTATACTTTATTATTAATTATGTAAATTAGTTAAATTAATTATTATTATGTTTAATATACTGTAATTTGCAATGCATGTAAACTATTGACTATCTCATTATATTTATCAATAAAAGTGAGTCCGGGTTGAGTCCAGGCTAGCAATAGCTAGTCTAGGAAGGACTTTAAAGATTGTAAACATTGACTACTTATTAATAGTGATGTTAGCCTTAAGTGTATTGACAATTGATTCATAAATTCCGATAAATCGGATGTATCTATTTGTCGATCCGTTAAAAGGCTCCTTAATACTAAATACCGATATACAGCGCAGTTATCAGTGACCAGAGCCTCGAATGGGCCATTCATATATACTGTGACGTAGTAAATAAACTATCCAAATATACCATAACTCCTAAATAGTCATAAATTACGTCACAGTTCCCTATCAAACATTGCATATTGCTTCGTAAAGTTATCTTTACGGGCATTTTGACGGTAAACTTTAAACCCGCACCGTCACAATTATATTATTTATCTATAATTTAGTTTATTTTTATTAGTAGGAAAAGTGAATACCTGTGCGTCAACACTATAGGTTTGACAATCACTACCACTACCATCACAACTATCACTTGTTTGATACAATTTTATACGTGGGTCGACCAGACATGGCTACCTATACCACTGACTTGTCGACAACAACAACAACAATGCAACGGTAAACTAGACGGTACACTGCCGTACCATTTAGCCACTACTGGCGCGGCGGATAGTTCCGGCAAACCCTGATGGCCAGTGCCGATACCATCCGTCACAGTATATGCATAGTCAAGGCTCGCATTATTAGTTTATCGGTAAATCTGGTCAACAAAACACAAACTACTGGCCACTGAACCAGTGCTAACCAATATTATGGTCATAATATTAGTAATTGTTTTTTTGCCCAAAAAAATAAAGATTAGAATTTTATTTATTATTTATTTAATTATAAACTTTTTAGTAAATTTATAGTTTACTATCTAAATAGTTATGAAAATTTAGTTTTATAAAAGTAATATACAAAAAGTTAAATAAAAATCATAATTAACTGATTATTATTTATTATTGAGTTTATAATTAACAAATGTATAGAATATTTCCCAAAATTACTTAATAGTATATATTTTATTAATATCTAATAATTTATAAAACAGTTGAACATTTATTACTATTTAAGCAATAATAAAAACAAATATAATATATTTTAAACAATATAATTCAAACAATAGGATAGTATCCAAGAGTAACTAATAGATTATAATTAATTTATATTGATGAAATAAATAATTTTAATTACTGTATATTATAAAATAAAGTTAAAATGCATAATTAATAGTAAATATTTTTATTTATTTATTTATTGAGTTATTGTAAAAAATTATTTACAAATATATAATAAGTATAGATTATTACAAAAAAAATATAAAACTCAAACAACAATCAAAACTAATAAAAGTTATTTCATTAATATTATAAAACTAAATAGAAATAATTAAACAATAAAATAATATTTATTGTATTATATTAAATATGTTTAATAATATAATGCAATACTTTATATTATTATAACCTTGATTATTTATCTTTAGTTATTTATTTAATTGATAAAATATTTATGAATTTCAGTTATAAATATTAAAAATATATACAGTAATAATTTTCACAAAGTAATAAGTAAGTAATTTAGCAATAATTATAATATCGATATTATGTTTAAAAATATATATCTTATATAACTTATAATATTTAACAGAAAAAAACATTTTTTATATAACTATTAAAAATTAGAAATTCAAAAACTTTTAATTCAATAATCTTTGCATAATTAATGAAAAATACTATTTTTTTTAGTTATAAAAGACAAGCAAAAAAATGTAGTAAAATGCATAATAAGTTGATTATTATTTATTATTGAGTTTATAGTTAACAAATGTATAGAATATTTCCCAAAATTTTGGCTCAGAATCCCTGTCCTCTGAACGGAGTTCACATTCTTTTGATTTTATTTGTTGTAATTTTTCTTCAAACTTCCCATCATTTGTAACAATACTTTTATCAATAGACCAATCATTGTATCGTTCAATAATCTGAGCACAGGTAGGTCTCTCTTTATATAATGTTTTTGTTGCACTAATTGTTATGTCAAACAATTGCCGATATTTATCACACCATTCGCTTGATATATATTTATCATGTGATCTAATAATAAATAAATGAAATTTTAAAATATCTAAAAAATCATTTAATTATATAATTTACTCATTTATATCAAATTCAAATAGTTTTTCAATTGTAGCCCCAATACTATAGACATCAGCTTTTGTATTGTATTTGCGACCACCAATTACTTCAGGTGCTATAAAATTAGGAGTTCCCACTCGTGACGTATGACTTTGTGATAAGCTATCGTGAATTGTTATTAATCCTAAATCACATAATTTAATGAACCGTCCGTTTCTGATATCGTTAGCAATCAATATGTTATCGGGTTTGAGGTCGCGATGAATAACCGGTGGATTCAATTCATGTATATATCGGACACATTCTAACACTTCTAATAGCAGTTCACACGTAATGTAATACTCCATACAATCCATGGGTTCATCTGATTATTGTTTTCTGTTAAATACGTGTGCTTTCAATTTGATGCCATCTTTCAGACTCATTAAGCAATACTCCATTCTAATATATATACAATCATTATAACCCCAAACTCCAAATACATTGACTAAATATTGTGCCGTTATTTTAGTCACTTTTTCAATTTCTTTTAAATAAATATCGTTTGTTAATCTTTTTTCTATAAATTTTTAAAATATTATTAATAAATAAATAATTATAAAATAATAACTAAAAATATTTCAATATATTAATAACCTTGAAATTTAATTATTTTTATTGCTTCAATTGTATTATATAATTTATATTCGCATTTAAAAACCGATCCAAAGCTTCCCGAACCCAATAGTTTCAACTCATCATAACATCGATAATATATATTATGAATATTATCTATTGATTTTAAAATAAAATAATTATTATAAATACTAATAAAAAACAATAAAAATATATACTAACTAGTGTCTAATGAATCAATTATCTTATAATTGGTTTTAATTAAATTTATTGTATTTTCAATAAATTTAATCATATTTTCAGTGAATTCATAAGCTATATATGTTTTATAAGTTAATTGAAATAAATCCGCACAAAAATCAAAATAATTATTATAATCTGTTTTATATTTTCTACTGTTTTTCACTTTATAGACCATATCATCCATTGAACAGAAATATGATCTTACATTCCATTTATATGATCTAATCGATTGAATATTAGAAAATTGATTACAATTTCCTAATAATTTTGGTATCATTTGTATATCAATTGCATTGTTTTCATTGTAATGTTTACCACAAAAATATACTTTATTTTTATTATAACTACTAAAATATGTTTCACCTAAACCCGATTGTATTGATGTAATGCCATTCAAATTGCATATCAATTGTGGTCTAAATAATATGAAATCATTGCAATTAAGTCCCAATCGATTGCAACGATTTCGACCCCAACTAAACACTTGTCCATCACTTGTCAGTGCAAACGATGAGTTAGCAAAACAGTGAACAGATTTTATCAAATAATTACCATTGAATTCAATCTTTTCGGGTGTAATAATGGCATCACAAATGGTGTCTCGGCTACCGATTTGTCCGAAATGATTACTACCCCAACCATACACTTCATTATTATTTTGTGTTACAACTAATGTGTGATTTGAACCACAACTCACAACACGTATTAAATCATTATTTGCATTGATTTGTATAATCATTGGTGTCTTATATTTCTTATCATTACTTTTCTGACCCAATTGTCCCCATTTATTATAACCACAACTATACAGACAGTTATCACTCGACACACAAACTATGAATTCGTCTCCATTTATGAAATCAATTATCTTTTTATGTCTCAATTCAATGATCTCTTGTGGTTCACTCACCCACTGGTTGTGTCCCAAACCCAGTGATCCCCAGAGATTAGCACCCAATCCATAGACCCTATCATCGTTAGTCACAAAAAACATATTAACCCCCAAATCGTCGTCAAACACATAAAATCTTTCAATTCTTTTGATCCAATCATTAGGTGTTAAAACTAGTTTATTGTTAATATTACCCATATTTTCATTATTATTGGTCACAATTTACAAAATATTTTTCTAATTTTTATTTATGAAATATTTAATATTTTATTATAACAATTTTTATATTTAACATTTATGTTATTATTAATCTAAATCGTATTTTTTATTATATAAAAATGAAATAACCATAATAACTTTAAGATAATATCCCAGTGTAACCAATAGATATTTGAAATTATTATTAATATATAGATAAAAAAAATATATTTGCTGTTAGTTAATAAAATAAAATAATCATATTATATATGAAAAGTAATATTAATAATTATTATATTATATCTAAATTTTTATTTATTTATTATTTAATTTTTTTTGTTAATAACTTAGTTGTAAAAGCGAATACCTGTGCGTCGACACTATTGGGTTGACAATCACTATAACTACCATCACAACTATCACTTGTTTTATACAATTTTATACGTGGGTCGACCAGACATGACTACCTATACCACTGACTTGTAGACAACAACAATGTAACGGTAAACTAGAAGATACACTGCCGACCCATTTAGCCACTACTGCCGCGGCGGACAGAACCGGCAAAACCCTGATGGCCAGTGCCGATACCATCCGTGTCAGTATAAGCATAGTCAATGCTTGCATTATTAGTTTATCGGTAAATCTGGTCACAAAACACAAACTACTGGCCACTGACCGATTCTAACCGATATTATGGTCATAACATTAGTAATTGATTTTTTGCCCAAAAAATAAAGATTAGTATTTTATTTATTTTTCATTTAATTATAAACTTTTTAGTAAATTTATAGTTTACTATCTAAATAGTTATTAAAATTTAGTTTTATAAAAGTAATATACAAAAAGTTAAATAAAAATCATAATTAACTGATTAGTATTTATTATTGAGTTTATAATTAACAAATGTATAGAATATTTCTCAAAATTTTGGCTCTGAATCCCTGTCTTCTGAACGGAGTTCCCATTCTTTTGATATTATTTGTTGTAATTTTTCTTCAAACTTCCCATCATTTGTAACAAGACTTTTATCAATAGACCAATCATTGTATCGGTTAATGATCTGAGCACAGGTAGGTCTCTCTTTATATAATGTTTTTGTTGCACTAATTGTTATATCAAACAATTGTCTGTATTTATCACTCCAATCACTTGTTATATATTTATCACGTGATCTAATGATAATCAACAAAATTTATAATTAAATTTTAAAATAACTAAAAAAATTGTTTTATCGATATAATCTCAACTCATTTATATTAAATTCAAATAATTTTTCAATTGTAGCCCCAAATACTATAGACATCAGCTTTTGTATTGTATTTGCGACCACTGATGACTTCGGGTGCAATAAAATTAGGTGTTCCCACTCGTGCCGTATGACTTTCAGTCAGTTTTTCATGTATTGCTATTAAACCCAAATCACATAACTTAATGAATCGGCCGTTTCTGATACGGTTAACAATCAATATGTTGTCGGGTTTGATATCCCTGTGAATGACCGGTGGTTTCAATTCATGCAAATATCGGACACATTCTAACACTTCTAATAGCAGTTCACATGTAATGTAATACTCCATACAATCCATGGGTTCATCCGTTGATTGTTGTCTATTAAATACCTGTGCTTTCAATTTGATGGCCTGTTTCAGACTCATTAAGCAATACTGCATTTCAATATATATTTTAATTTTTGTAATACCAACAGTCAAACACATTAGCTAAATATTGTGCCGTTATTTTGCTAACTTTTTCAATTTCTTTCAAATACATATCTTCAATAAAATTTTCGTCTAAAAATTATAAAAAAAATAATTTTTTAAAAAAAATATTTAATAAATCTATATTAATATTAATAGTTAGACATATAACTAAAATATTTTTTTAATTTATATATTAAAATAAAAAAATATAGTTATTTAGTTAGTAAACTCTTTAAAAAAATAAATACCAGAAATTTTAATTATTTTTACGGCATAAATATTATTATTTAATTTATGTTTGCATTTATAAACCGATCCAAAGCCTCCCGAACCCAATAGTTTCAACTCATCACAACATCGATAATATGTGTCATGAATTTTATCTAGAAATAAAATAATTAAATATTTAGTTTAAAAAAAATAAATACTAATTAACACTAACCATAGTTAAGCACATCCGGACAATTAGATTCAATTTTCATTGAATTAAATGTTATTTCAAGTAAATTCAGTATATTATCATTGAATTCATACGAGTTATATGTTTTATAAGTTATTTGATATTTATTAATACAATAATCAAAATAATTATTAAAATTTGATTGAAATTTTACAATTCCGTCCATTAGATCGTAAACAATACCATTCATTGAGCAAAACATTGACATTTCATTCCATTTATATGTAAAAATTTGATTGAATATTAGAAAATTCATGGAAAGTTCCCAATAATTTTGGTATCAATTGTATATCACTTATATTATTATTATTATTAGTGTAATATTGACCGCAAAAATATACTTGATTATTATAATGACTACTAAAATATGTATTCAATGAACCCGATTGTATGGATGTAATACCAGACAAATTGCATATCAATTGTGGTTTAACTATAAAATCGTTGCTAATATTAAGTCCTAATTGTTGGCTACGATTTTGACCCCAACTAAATACCTGTCCATCCATTGTCAATGCAAACGATGATTGTTCAAAACATTGAACACATTTTATACAATAATCGCCATTGAATTCAATTTTTTCGGGTAAAGTAATTGAATCACAAGTGGTGTCTCGGCTACCGATTTGTCCGAATTTATTTTTACCCCAACCATAGACTTCATTATTATTATTATTTTGTGTTACAACTAATGTATGATATGAACCACAACTTACATCAAGTATTAAATCATTAATTTTAACAATCATTGGTTTATTAGTTTCAAAATCTCTACAACCATTACCCAACTCTCCCCATACATTTAGACCACAACTATACAGACAATTATCATATGACAAAAATGTCATAAAATGTCTACCGTTTATAAAATTCCGACACTTTTTATGTCTCAATTCAATGATCTCTTGTGGTTCACTCACCCACTGGTTGTGTCCCAAACCCAGTGATCCGTAATAATTAGCACCCAATCCATAAACTCGATCATCGGTAGTAACAAACAGTACATTAACTCCCAGTTCATCGTCATATATATAAAACCTTTCAATACTTTTGATCCAATCATTTGGAGTTAAGGTTTTTGTTTCCATATCTTTATAATTAATAACTTTTTATTTGCTATTATTATTTTAATTTCATTATATAATGTATTAATTGTATTACACAATATAATAAAAATATTAAAAATAACATTTTATATAAAATTATAGAATTATACTTATAATAATGAATTAAAATATAAAAACTATATATTATATAAAATTACCTTTTAATTAAATATTTAATTAATAACTAACCTTTGTTAATTATCTTATTTATTTATTGATTAAAAATAATGATAACTATTTATGAAATTCAGTTATTGTAATAAAAAAAACATTTTGATATCACAATTTAAGCAATAATTAAAAAAAATTATATCTTAAACAACATAACTTAAAAAATAAGATAGTATCCAAGTGTAACTAATAGATAGTTATTAAATTATATTGACAAAATAAATAGTAATTTTAAGTAATATTTTGTTTATTATAAATATTGTTAAAATGTATAATTAAATAAATATTTTTATTTATTTATAATTTAATTTACAAAAAATATATTATGAAAAAATTAATTACAATCTATTTATCAGTTTAAATATATTTATTTATTTAGTAGTAATTATTACAAAAAATATGAAACTAAATCAAAAATCAAAACAAATAAAAGTGATTTCATTAATATTATTATACTAAATAAAAAATTATGATTACTAAAAAATATATAAACTAAAATATTTCTAGTATTATATAAAATATTTTTAATAATATAATGTAATACTTATTATTATTATTATAACCTTGATTATATATTTATTTATTTGATAAAATAATTATCAATTACTAAAGATATACAGTAATAATGTTCACAAAGTAATAAATACTGAGTTTAACAATAATTATAAACTTTATGTTATAATTAAAAATATATATTATATAACTTTTTTAGACAATTAAAAAAACATTTTTTATATAACTATTAATTTTTAAAAATTCAATAGTTATTAACAATAATCTTTATTTATAAATTAATTATTTAATAATACTATATTTTAGTTATGAAATACAAACAAAAAAAGTTAATTAAATGCATAATTAATTGATTATTGATTATTATTGAGTTTATAAATAACAAATGTATAAAATATTTCCCAAAATTCTGGCTCTGAATCTATTGCTTATAAACTTTATGTTATAATTAAAAATATATATTATATAACATAAAATTTATTAAATGAAACATTTTTTATATAACTATTAATTTTTAAAAATTCAATAGTTATTAACAATAATCTTTACTTATAAATTAATTATTTAATAATACTATATTTTAGTTATGAAATACAAACAAAAAAAGTTAAATAAATGCATAATTAATTGATTATTGATTATTATTGAGTTTATAAATAACAAATGTATAAAATATTTCCCAAAATTCTGGCTCTGAATCTATTGCTTATAAACTTTATGTTATAATTAAAAATATATATTATATAACATAAAATTTATTAAATGAAACATTTTTTATATAACTATTAATTTTTAAAAATTCAATAGTTATTAACAATAATATTTATTTATAAATTAATTATTTAATAATACTATATTTTAGTTATGAAATACAAACAAAAAAAGTTAATTAAATGCATAATTAATTGATTATTGATTATTATTAAGTTTATAATTAACGAATGTATAGAATATTTCCCAAAATTCTGGCTCTGAATCCCTATCTTCTGAACGGAGTTCCCTTTCTTTGTGTTTTATTTTCTCTAGTTTTTCATCAATCTTGATATCAGATGTAACAACAGTGCTATCAATAGCCCATTCATTGTATTGTTCAATAATCTCGGCACAGGTAGGTCTCTCATCATATATGGGTTTCATTGACTCATTAATAACATCTAATAGTTTACAATATTTATTACTCCACTCGTGTTTAATATATTTATCGCGTGAACTAAACAAAAAAATAATTTATTAATAGTTTATTATATAATTAAAATAGTATTCAAAATACAAACTCATTGACATTCGTATCGAACAACTCTTCAATAATAACACTAATACTATAGACATCAGCTTTGGTGTCATATTTGCGACCACTTATGACTTCGGGTGCCATATATTTAGGACTTCCCACACCTGACGTATGACTCTGTGATACCATTTCGTGAACTGTTATAAATCCTAAATCACATAACTTAATGAACCGTCCGTTTCTGATATCGTCGGCAATCAATATGTTATCGGGTTTGATATCCCTGTGAATGACCGGTGGTTTCAATTCATGCAAATATCGGACACATTCTAACACTTCTAATAGCAGTTCACACGTAATGTAATACTCCATACAATCCATGGGTTCATCTGATGATTGTCTGTTAAATACCTGTGCTTTTAATTTGATGGCCTCTTTCAAACTCATTAAGCAATATTCCATTGAAATATATATACAATTATCATAATTCCAAACTCCAAATACATTGACTAAATATTCAGCCGTTATTTTAGTCACTTTTTCAATTTCTTTTAAATAAATATCGTTTGTTAAACTTTTTTCTATAAATTTTTAAAATATTATTTATTAATATATAATTATTAAATTAAAAATAAAACTATTTAAATATATTAATAACCTGGTAATTTAATTATTTTTATTGCTTCAATTGTATTATATAATTTATATTCGCATTTAAAAACCGATCCAAAGCTTCCCGAACCCAATAGTTTCAACTCATCAAAACATCGATAATATATGTTATGAATATTATCTATAGATTTTAAAATAAAATTATTATTATTCTAAATGCTAACAAAAAACAATATAAATATATACTAACTAGTTTTTAATGAACCAATTGTTTTATGATTATTTTTAATTAAGTTTATTGTATTTACAATAAATTTAATAATATTTTCAGTGAATTCATAAGCGATATATGTTTTATAAGTTATTTGATATAAATCAACACAATATTCAAAATAATGATTAAAATTTGTTTTAAATTTTCTACTTTTTATCACTTCATAGACCATATCATCCATTGAACAGAAATGTGTCCTTTTATTCCATTTATATGATATAATCGATTGAATATCAGAAAATTGTTTACAATTTCCTATTAATTTTGGTATCATATGTATATCAATCGCAACAACGTTTTCATTGTAATATTGACCACAAAAATATACTTCATTTTTATTACTATTACTAAAATATGTTTGTCCTCCACCCGATTGTATTGATGTAATGCCATTCAAATTGCATATCAATTGTGGTCTAAATAATATCAAATCACTGCAATTAAGTCCCAATTGATTGCTACTATTGAGTCCCCAACTAAACACTTGTCCATCACTTGTCAGTGCAAACGATGAGTTATGAAAACAGTGAACAGATTTAAAACAATAATTGTCATTAAATTCAATCTTTTCGGGTGTATTAATGCCTACACAAGTGGTGTCTCGACTACCGATTTGTCCGAAATGATTGCGACCCCAACCATACACTTCATTATTATTTTCGGTTACAACTAATGTATGATATGTACCACAACTCACATCACGTATTAAATCATTGTTTTCATTGATTTGTAAAATCATTGGTTTTTCATATTTATTATCATCATATCTCTGACCCAATTGTCCCCATCTATTATAACCACAACTATAAACTCTGTTATCACTCGACACACAAACAATAAATTCAGATCCGTTTATAAAATTAATACACTTTTTATGTCTCAATTCAATGATCTCTTGTGGTTCACTCACCCACTGGTTGTGTCCCAAACCCAGTGATCCGTTCAGATTAGCACCCAATCCATAGACCCTATCATCGGTAGTAGCAAAAAGCATATTAACTCCCAGTTTGTCGTCAAACACATAAAACCTTTCAATCCTTTTGATCCAATAATTAGGTGTTAAAACTAGTTTATTGTTAATATTACCCATATTTTCAATATTATTGTTTTCAATTTACTGAATATTTCTAATTATTATATTTGTTATATTTTGATATAACTATAATATTTAATAAAACATTTTTTATAACTATTTTTTATATTTAACATTTATGTTATTATTAATCTAAATCATATTTAATTTTTATTGTATGAAAATGAAATAACCATAATAACTTTAAGATAATATCTCAGTGTAACCAATAGATATTTTTATTATTATTAATATATAGATAAAAAAATATATTTGCTGTTAGTTAATAAAATAAAATAATCATATTATATATGAAAAGTATAATTATAAATGATTAGTAAAGATTATATTATTTATTAATAATTTAGTTTATTTTTATTAGTAGTAAAAGTGAATACCTGTGCGTCAACACTATTGGTTTGACAATCACTACCACTACCGTCACAACTATCACTTGTTTCATACAATTTTATATGTGTGTCGACCAGACATGACTACCTATACTATATTAATTTTTATTGATAATTTAAAAAAAATGTTTGCTTAGTTTTAATCTTATGATTTTTGACATTTCATTATTAGTATATTTATTATCATAGATCAGATATTATAAATAGTATTAAAGTTAAAAAATAATTTATATTTTGTTAAATATTTTTGTAAATATTTGATAAAATAAATTATTGATAATTAGTACTTGAACTTTATTCCTATATATTTTTTTATTATTAGTTAACTATTATTTATAACTCAATTGAGATACTTATTAAAATCATTAACGATATCTAAATTAAAATATTATTCATTTATTTGATTGATAATTATTTTTTTTATAGTAACAATAGCTATAATGTTTAATCAATGCATTGTTTATTAATTTACTTTATTTAAATAATTTTAAAAATTTTATTTATTAATTAAAACAGATTTATTGAAAAACTTTGTTCATACTATTAAAATGTTAAAAAAATATTTTATTAAAATTATTTTATTCCCTATATATTGATAACAAATTATTTATTATTTTAAATATATTTATTATAATATCAATTATAAAACAATATTTGAAACTAAAACAACAATCAAAACAAATAAAAGTGATTTCATTAATACTATTATACTAAATATAAAATTATAAAAAATAGTTATTGTATTATATCTTATAGGATTAATAATAAAATTTAATACTTGAATATTATAACCTTGATTATCTTAAGTTATTTTATTAGTTGATAAAATATTTAGGAAATTCAATTAAAAATACTAAAAAATATACAGTAATAAAGTATATAAAAAAAATTAAAACTGAATTACTAAGTTAATAAAATTTATGCAATGATTAAAAACATATATTATATAACTTATAATATTTAACAGACTAAACTTTTTTTTATATTACTATTAATTTTTAGAAATTCGATAGTTATAAACAATTATCTTTATTTAATTATTTAATAATACTATTTTTTATAGAATAAAATAGATTCAAAATAGTTATATAATGCATAAAAAATTTCCCTTGTTTTATTATTGAGTTTATAGCTAACAAATGTATAAAATATTTCCCAAAATTTTGGTTCATCTGAATGCCTGTCCTCTGAACGTAGTTCCCATTCTTTTAGTTTTATTTGTTGTAATTTTTTTATAAACTCCACATCATTAATGACAATATTGCTATCGATAGCCCATTCATTATATCTGTTAATAATCTGAGCACAGGTAGGTCTATCTGCATATAAAGTTTTTGTTGCACTTATTGTTATGTCAAACAATTGCCTGTATTTATCACACCATTCACTTGATATATATTTATCATATGATCTAAAAATAAATAATGATAATAAATTATAAAAAATAATTAAAAGATTTAAACATTTTTTACTAAAAAATTATTTAATAATATTTATAACTAACTCATTGATATTAAGTTCAAATAGCTTTTCAATTGTAGCCCCAATACTATAGACATCGGCTTTTGTATTGTATCTGCGACTACATATTACTTCAGGTGCTATAAAATTAGGAGTTCCTACTCGTGATGTATAACTTTGCGATAAGTTATGTTGTATTGTTATTAATCCTAAATCACATAATTTAATAAACCGTCCGTTTATGATATGGTTAGCAATCAATATGTTGTCGGGTTTGAGGTCGCGATGAATGACCGGTGGATTCAATTCATGCAAATATCGGACACATTCTAACACTTCTAACAGTATTTCACACGTAATGTAATACTCCATACAATCCATGGGTTCATCTGATGATTGTCTGTTAAATACCTGTGCTTTCAATTTGATGGCATCTTTCAAACTCATTAAGCAGTACTCCATTGAAATATATATACAATCATCAAAACCCCAAACTCCTAATACATATACTAAATATTGTGCTTTTATTTTAGCCTCTTTTTCAATTTTTTTTATAAAAATATTGTTTGTTAAACTTTTTTCTATAAATATTTAAAATATTAGATATAAAATTATAAATAAAATTATTAGAAATTATTTATTACCTTTGTTAAATTTAATTATTTTTATTGCACAAATGTTTTTATTTAGTTTATGTTTACATTTATAAACCGATCCAAAGTTTCCCGAACCCAATAGTTTTAACTCATCAAAACATCGATAATATATGTTAGTAATATTATCTATAGATAAATTAAAAATAAATTATTATTACAAATATTAAGAAAACATAATATAAATATATACTTACTAATATTTAATGAATCATTTGCTTTATATTCGGTTTTAATTAAGTTTATAGTATTTTCAATAAATTTAATAATATTTTCAGTGAATTCATTAGCGATATATGTTTTATGAGTTATATGAAATTTATCGACAAAATAATCAAAATAATTATTAAAATCTGTTTTAGATTTTTTACTGTTTATCACATTATAGACCATATCATCCATTGAACATATAAATGATTTTTGATTCCATTTATATGATATAATCGATTGAATATTAGAAAATTCTTTACAATTTCCTAATAATATTGGTTTCATTTGTATATTAAGTGCATGTTTTTTATTGTAATATTCACCACAAAAGTATACTTCATTTTTTTTACTACTACTAAAATATGTTGCTTCTATACCCGTTTGTATTGATGTAATGCCATTCAACTTGCATATCAATTGTGGTTTAAATATTAGCAAATCATTGCTATTAAGTCCCAATTTATTGCTACTATTTTCACCCCAACAAAACACTTGACCATCACTTGTCAGTGCAAACGATGAGTTTGAAAAACAGTAAACAGATTTTATACAATAATTGCCATTAAATTCTAACTTTTCGGGTGTAGTAATGATCTCACATGTGTTGTCTCGGCTACCGATTTGTCCGAAATCATTACGACCCCAACCATACACTTCATTATTATTTTGTGTTACAACTAATGTATGATATGTACCACAACTCACATCACGTATTAAATCATTGTTTTCATTGATTTGTAAAATCATTGGTTTTTCATATTTATTATCATCATATCTCTGACCCAATTGTCCCCATCTATTATAACCACAACTATAAACTCTGTTATCACTCGACACACAAACAATAAATTCAGATCCGTTTATAAAATTAATACACTTTTTATGTCTCAATTCAATGATCTCTTGTGGTTCACTCACCCACTGGTTGTGTCCCAAACCCAGTGATCCGTTCAGATTAGCACCCAATCCATAGACCCTATCATCGGTAGTAGCAAAAAGCATATTAACTCCCAGTTTGTCGTCAAACACATAAAACCTTTCAATCCTTTTGATCCAATCATTTGCTGTTAAGGTTTGTGTTTTGATTTCAATAGTATTTATTACATTTGATTTTAATTTTGTAGATTTATTGCCCGTATTTTCATAAGGATTGGTCACATTGTTTTTATTATTATTTTCAAAAAAGTCTATTAATTTTTTAGTATTATTATTATAATTAGCCATTATTATTATAATTTACTTTTTAAATAATTTTTTTAAATAATTTTTTCACATAATATTTATTAATAAAACTGTTTTATAATATAATTATATCACTATTTATTCAATAATTAAACAAAAAGTATTATAACTTAATAATTCAAACAATAGTATCCAATTGTAACTAATAGATATTTATTAATTTTTGTGATAATTTTTTTTTTAATAATTTTAATCTTAAGATTTTATTATTATTTTATTTATTATCATAAATATGCATTATATAGTATATTATAAATATTAATTAGTATTAAAGTTATAAAAATAATTTATATTTTGTTGTATATTTTTTTTATAAATATTTGATAAAATATATTATTGATAATTAGTACTTGAACTTTAGTTTATATATATATATTATTATTATTAGTTAACTATTATTTATAATGAAATTCAATTGAAATACTTTATTGAAATCATTATATCGATATCTAAATTAAAATATTAGTTATTTATTACTTTATAATTAGTTTTTTCATAATAACAATAGTTATAATGTTTAACCAATGCATGGTTTATTAATAATATTTTATTAGTTAAAAAAAATATTTATTGAAAAATTTTGTTCATAATATTTAAATGTTTAAAAAATATTTTATTTAACTTATTGTTTTTCCAATATATTGATAAAATATTATTATATATGTTAAACACTTGAAACACAATTATTTTTATTATTACTTAAATATTATTATTAAATGATAACAATTGAAATATTTATCAAAGTATTAACGATATCTAAGTTTTGACATTAAACTTGAATTTATTATAATTAAAATAAATTTCTATAAAAAAATTTTATTGTTTTTTTTAAAAAAACAAAATAAATTTTGATTAATAAAATAAAACTATTAAAAATTAAAAAATAAATCCTACTAGTATACATTATTTTATATTTATAATATATCAGATATAAAGAAAATCTAATAATTAAACTAATAATGAAATGTCAAAAATCTTAAACTTAAACTTTTTATAAAAAATAAATTAAATAAAAACAATTTTATCAAAATAACTATTATCATTAAGTAATAAATATATTAATTAATGTATTAAACTTGATATAAAGTATACTTATATAGTTATAGTTCAAAACACTTAAATAATAAATTTACAAAAAAAAACAATTTATTGATAAAATATTAAACTAAACACTTTTAATTTAACTAAATATTAGTTAAAAATTAATAGTATTTATTAATTAATTAGAAATATATTTTTAGTTAATTAAATTAAATTGTATTTATAAAAGTATGTCTTAAAAAAATATATTTAAAAATATGGAAAATAATTTTTAGCAAAAAATTATTATAATTTAGATATCAATAATACTGTACTTCAATAACTATTTCAATTATTATCTCTAATAATAATAATATTTAAGTAATAATAAATAATTTCAAGTATATATATATAATATTATTTTATCAACATATAGCAACAACAAAAAAATAAATTTTGTATAAAATATTTTTTATTATTGTAGATAATATTGAAATAATTTTCATAAATATTTCATAACTAATAAATAACTCATAAATAATTTGTGTTTATAAAATAAATAAATAATAATAATTTAATCTTAATTTTTGTTATTAATATTATTCAATATAAATTAAAAGCATTAAAATAATTTATTTTTATCAATAAAAATTAATAAATATCTATTAGTTACTATTATATCTTATTGTTTGAGACATAATATTTTTTTTAATCAATAATTGAATAAATAGTAATAATTAATATATATCTAATTGTTTTATTAATAAATACTATAGAAAAATATTATTTATAAAAGTAAAGTAAACTATCAATAATTATGTCAAATAATTTAAAACAATAGTCTAAAAAAGTTAATATTTATTATATTGTTAAAGTATATAATTTTTTTTAATAAAATAACATAGAGTTTAATTTAATTAAACTAATAAACAATTATAATTGAATACTAAATTATATAGAAATAATAATAATATCAAAAAATTTAAGTTTTTAAATAAATAAATAAATAGCAATTGATTTTATTTTTATCTTAAAATTGATTTTATTTGTTTTTATTATTACAATATATATTTTATTATTTTATTATTATTATTATTATCAATAATATCATACAAATACTAATTTATTAATATTATTATTTAATTTTAATTATTATTATTATTACATAATAATAATAATAAATAGTCAATAAAATATCACTTATATAAATCTCAACACACTAGTTATAATAATAATAGTGCATAAAATTAATTAATTAATAACAATAAAAATTAATTGAAAATAATAATAATAAAAATACATTTTTGCTAATAATAATAATTAAATTAAATTTTAAATAATTATTAATTGTTTGTATTTGTGTAGCACTTGACGAAACTTGACCGACGGTATTGTCATATGGTTTGTTGGTATTGTCGCCCATCATTGATGATGAGCTCATGGATGATGAGCCGTTTTGGTGGTTATTATTATTATTATTGGCGGCCGCGGCCGCTGCCGGTGATAGCAAACTGGGCGGCCATACACTTGAAGCCAACTCCGAGTTAGTAGGCATCTGAACCTCTGTTTATATAAAAGTAATAATTAATATAATTTTTTATTAATTAAAATTATAGTAAAAAAATTAAAAATTAGACTAAGATTTAGATTAAAATTTAGACTAAAATTAGACTAAACTTTAGACTAAACTTTAGACTAAAAATTAGACATAATATTATACAAAAATTAGATAAAAATTAGACTAAAATTAGAAATTATATTCTTTATATATTCTTATAATGTAAAACATTGTTTTATGATTTTTAATTTAAAAAATTATTATAAAAATTATTATTTAATATTTTGCTGTATTTTTGATTAACTTATTATTTTTATATACAGTAAATACTGTATTTCTATAGATTTCATTAATATTTATAAAGTATATCATATGATATACTTATAGATCAAATCAATGTTTTTTTTAAAGTTAATTATTATTTTTAAAACTGAAAATAATTATTTTATACTATTTATATTTATAGACACCTATAGGATTGGGTAATAACCCTTACCATACAGTCTAACCTGATATATATATATATAATATTATATATAAAATTTATATATTTAGGATTAGTCTAAAAAAAATATTTTGATAGCATATATATATAAATAAACTGAAACTTATTTGTTATCAAAAATATTTTTTAGACTAATTTTATTTTATTTATTTAATTTGTCGGTTAAACTATTGTATCGGTCGGTTGACTAATAATACCCTAACCTTACAGTCTAAACCTCATATATATATTTAGTTAGTATTAGTCTAAAAAAAAAATATTTTCAAAACAAATAAGTTTCAGTTTATATACCGCTATATATATAAACTGAAACTTATTTGTTATCAAAACTAATTTTTTTAGACTAATTTTTAATTTTATTTTTTTCAATTTATCGGTAAAACTAGTGTATCGGTCGGTTGACTAATAGATACCCTTACCGTACAGTCTGACCAGTCCTTCCTTTTCTCCCAAACTATTTTTGGCCACACATTTATAACTACCGAAATCTTTATCATCCAAACCGGTTATCTTCAACAACATCCGTGTCCTATACGAGTCATGTTCCTCACGTGTCTGATATTTCGGTGACGGCATCAATACCTGTCCATCCGTTGATCGCATCCACAATGTTATCGGTTGTGGCGATGCCTCCAAATAGCACTCCAGGTTGACATCACTACCAACTGATGACCCGATTAATTGTTTTAAGACTTTTATTTTCGGACGAACTGTATATACATTATATATATAATAAAAATATATTAATTATAAATAATAGATTAAATAAGTGTTTTACTAATAATATTATAGCTAATAATATATATAATTTTATAACAATTTATAGTTAAAATTAAAGTTAAATAACATCCCAATTGATTACAATTAACACTAACTATAAAAAGTTACTAAAAAACTACTATAATATTAATTTATTACAATATCATTAATAATAATAATAATAATAATAAAATATAAATTTAATTTTTTAACAAATTTATATAATTTAATAGTCAATTGTTTTAAGCTATTTAAACAAATGTAATAAATTGTATCCTAATTTTAATTAATATTTTTAATTTAAATTTAATTTTTTTTACTTACAATTAACTCTAACGATAATCCTTTGGCTAACACTGGGCGGCACTGAATTGGATGCTATACACAGATAGGCTCCCATATCATCTGAAAAAATAATATATAATATATATAAATATATATATATATATATATATATATCAATAGTAGTAAAAAAAGTTATATAATAATAATGATAACTAATAATAATAAAAAATTATCATTTAATACAAACCTCTGGTTAGTTGACTGATGTTTAGATACTCGCCCTCCACTTTAGCGGCTATTTTATATATGTAATTAATATTTTAAAAAATTATTGTTAGTTAAAAATATTTTTATTTATTTATTTAATTAGTTAGTTAGTTATAAGAAAAAATAAATAATAAGTATTACATATTAATTATATAATAAATCATAAATGTTACCAAAAAAAAATCTTTAAATATTTTGTATAGTTTTTAGCATTAAATATAAATTTTATATAAAAACCGAAAACCAAACCAAAATAAATAATATATTATTTAATAGGTATTACTGTTTCGGTTTCAGTTTTTCTAAATAACAATAGAGAAAAAAATCTAATTTTAAGTTTAATATATATGTATATATATATATACTCTATATATATGACTGACCCGAGTATTTTTTGCCGCCATAGAGACCCAAATTAATATCTTTGTTGTCCTCCCGGCGCCACGTAATAGTCGGCTGGGGGTAACCATTGGCCCGACAGCGCAACGACAGTCGCTGTCTTTCATCGACTGCTGTATCCGAACTCGTGTCCGAATCGACTATCGATGGCGGAACTGAATGGGACGGGTAGTCAACAACAACAACATCAACAAAATTAATAGACAGTTACATGAGTTGACACATATATATAATAAATGGCTATTTTTGTCAGAGAGAGAGAGAGAGAGAGAGAGAGAGAGAGAGAGAGAGAGAGAGAGAGAGAGAGAGAGAGAGAGAGAGAGAGAGAGAGAGAGAGAGCAGTAATACTATATATATTTATGATATTAGTGGGTAGACTATCAAAAAAATGATAGATAACTGTGCCCTAAACTGGTGTGTTAACACATATATAGACTATATATCATATATATATTATATAAAATTTTTAAAGTTATTACAGTTATATACTCTACTATCATATAATAAAGTGTTACTACTATTATAAAGTTATTTTTTTCAACAAAATAAAAATAAATGGACACAAGTTTAGTATTATTATTATATATTATTTAGTGTATATATATTTAATAGCCGACACTTTTATGAAACTAAAATTTTTTTTGATATATATATATATATATATGGTTATAATAAATGTCTCTGAAATATATATTTTATGCATTTTTTCATATATAAAGTATAGGAATCTTATAATAATAAATATCATATATATATATATTGATATATACAGTATATAAATATAGTTATAAATTTTCAGTTTAAAAAAATATATATTTTATAATATAATAAAAAAAAATTTTGATAAATACTTAGCACATCCACATAACCGCCTAATGTTAGCATTGGGTCGGTATTTATTTGGCACATATACCAGCCTTTTATGATAGTTATGATTGTTATTAATGGGGGGACAAAAAAAAATTTAAAAACAAAAAAAAATCAATTAGTATTTTTCATATATACTGTATATATATATTATATTGTGAGCACCTTTATCTTGAGCCCTAACACTTTTGATGTGTAGATACCATTGTCTATAGTTAGTATGTGTTACCCGAAATCGGTGATCTTTGACCACTGTTTGCGTTTGTATTGTCAATAATGTGTACTCAGATGACGATGATGTCGATGATGACGATGATGTCCATAATGGTGACGGCGATGACGACGACAGGTTACCGACACTATTGCTACGACCCATACCACTCCCACCCCCACCACCAACACCACTACCCCCGCCATCAATAGTTTCTAACTTAAGCCAAGCAACCTATATATATAAAAAAAATTGATTACATATATTAATATATATATAGATAGGTTAGGTTAGGTGTATTGATTAGGTAGGTGCTCATCAAATAGTTAGCTTATTAAAAAATAATTATATATTGTTTTATAATAATTAATATTTAATAATATAGATAACTGTGTTTCTAATAATTTCAAATTAAAGCTAAACTATTATTATTATTATTTAATTCAGTATATGATATGATTTG